GGCGGTGGGAAATCGGATTCTGGCTCTGCCCACCAATAAACCTGGGAAACATTTGAAGTACACCATTCCCGATCCGGTGAATTCGCAGTTCTTCAGCGTGGGTTCTCTGGGAGAACTGGTCCTGGCCAAACCACTGGACTACGAGAAGATGACCAAGCACGAGTTCCAGGTCCTGGCCACCGATGGAATGACCAACAGCACGGCGGAACTTACGCTGGACGTGATTGATGTCAATGACTGGGAGCCTCGGTTCCGGGAAACGCACTACGAGTTTATGGTGCCCAAGAGTGTAAGCATTATTAACATGTTAAATGTCATAGTGTTAAGTACAAAACAAGTTATGGACTTGCCTGTAAAAACTTGTATCCTCCTTGTGTTATTTACACGGCGTGTTATTTACGCGACACAGCGTGTTGTTAACACAATGAGTTTTTGACATTTAAGTGTCAGAATTGTATGTTGAACTAAAAAATTCACGGTTTTTTAGAGTATAAGAATTCATATATGCTTTGAAATGGTTAATTTCATTTGTGTTAAAAACACAGTGTTAATAACACGTTGTGTAAAAACAACAAATGAGCTATTTTTCACATTCTACCACTTTTGTATTTGACACACATGTCAACAATTTTAATCACACTGTAAAATACAATTTTCCATGTTTTTAACATGTGTGTCAATTTCCGAAGCCTGTTCATCGTATATCTTTTTCTTTCCCTCACCCAGCAATCCTTACAATCCCGCGTGGACTCCTTCGAGGGCGTGCTCATCGGCAAGGTGGAGGCGGCTGACGGAGATCGCAACGACAAGCTGGAGCTCTCGCTGCGTGGCCAGCATGCCGGTCTATTCGAGATCGATGCCACTGGGAATATCTACATGCGACCGGAGCAGCTGCAGAGCCTCAATGAGTCCACAGTCCATCTGATAGCTATCGCCACGGACACGGGCGTACCGCCCAGGAGCACCTCGGTCCCGGTGAGCGTGACCATGGAGGGTCTGACCCTGGCTCAATCCGGCTGGAACAGCAATATGCTCGGCATGTTCGGCATGATCATGGGCCTCTTCCTGATGATCATAGTGGCGCTCAGTTGCTACATTGTGCGTTCGAAAAAGCAGGGCAAGAGCGCTGCCAGCGGCTTGGGTCTCGGCCGGAACCGGGTGCACAGTCAGGCGCACAGCAGCGTGTCCTCGGCCAATCTGGTTACCCACGAGAAGCTGGCCGGGAATGGCAACGGCAACGGAGCCAGTGTGACGAGCGGCGGGGTCTCCGTGCTGCATATGAAGCACGGCGGTAATATCACCATGGCCAATCCGATGAACAACGGGCTGCATCATGTAGCCAGTGGAGCCAGCAGTAGCATGGCCCTCGGAAGCTCGGCAGCTTTGTTGGAGCGGGAAAGGGAACGAGAAAGGGAGCGGGATCGGGAGCGCCAGCGGGAGAGCTATGCGGCCACAGTGCGCAGTAAGTGGCAGTCAATCGTTATCTTCCAAAAGGATGCAAGTCTTCAGGTTCTGAAAAATTCAATGAAAATTTAAAAAATATAAAAAAGTGAAACATAATTAGTAGACCTAGGATTTTGCATATTTTTCCATTTTTACCAAAATTTCTAGGTAGGTGTCACATTTTTCAAATGGGATAAATTCGGATGCATATCAGAAATATGCAAATTTACATATATTTTAAATATTTTATGCATATGCCTTTATGCAAATATGCAAAAAAAAAAAAAAAAATATGCCATTAATTTTAAACTATATTTTTAATGAAACGAGCTTTGGTGTTTTCGGAATTGATCTATCTATAAAAAGTATGCAAATATGCAAAATCCGAGGTCTATTATTTAGCTATTGAATCTGACTTGCATCCCTGACATTTCCCAAACATTTCACCCCCAATCTCACCCGAAACATTCACTATTAAAAGTCTTCTTGCCAGGCATAGTTTCGCGCGCCTCCGCCAACGGGCAGCTTTTCGAGGAGGATGAGATCGAGCACGACTCCCTGCAGACGGAGAACAATAACCGCAAAGTGGGAGCCGCAACGGGAGCGGCGGCAAGTGGCGGCGGGGTCACCACCATCACCACCACCTCGGCCAACGCGGGCCAATCCAATCTTCTATCCGCCACCGATGCCATGGGCTCCTCGGAGAACAACTTGACGGTCTACTTTTAGAACTGCGGGAGCCAGCTCCGCCCGGAGTGCTTGTAAATATCGCTGCTAAGTCAGTTTAGGATTAGGTTTAGTCCCCGCACACGTGTATGTACATTGAGTAGACCAAATATAGCATTGTAAACAGACCCAGCACACGATTTATAGTTAAGTCCAAGCGATTTCCATTGTAAAGTTTTGCTTCCCAGTTTTTTAAGTGGATCCATAAAGTCCAATAAAGTTTGGCCCCTTCCATGCAAACAGTTCTCCTTACGAATCTCGTTGTTTTATATTGTTGACGCTTAAGTTCTACTTCGATTCTGGTGATCGGTGATCTTCACAACTTTGGCATGGACAAAACAAAAATAATTATAAAACGATTGAGTGACATAGAACATAGGTAGGTAGGATATTACATTTCAATGTTGGGTAAGGAAAGTTTTTAGTTGGAAAAGACTAAGCTTAATCGCTTGGAATTACTTTTAGTTTTAAGTTTTTTTTGGTATCAAAAGAATAAGGATAAAATGCTGTTTCAGTGGCACGACTGCAGACTCCCTTCGATCTTCGCCTGCCTTTACCTGCCATTTCGTTTCGTCTTTCGCTTGAGCAGGTTAAAGTCTCCATACTGAATGTGATTGTCGGTCAGGAATGGCACATAGAAGGCGCGCAACACCTTGTGCGACTTCTCGGGAATTAGAAACGGCAGGCTCTTCATCACCGACCACTCCTTGGATCGCTTGGAATAGTTGGGCTCCAGCGGTGTATATTTTCCCTCATCGAAATCGACGAGGAAATCGCAGCGGTCATAGTCGAAGTACATGTGTTCGTTTTCCTGGTTGAGATCATTGAAGTACGGATGCGCCACCTTTGTGGCATTGTCGCCTGCAACATAGTACGCTGGCAGCATGCCCCGGAACTCGGATTTCAGGAAGCGCAGACGGAAATTCTTGGCGGGAAAGAAGAAGCTGCCCGGATAGCGGTGCCAGTCCTTGCCAATGCACACATTGTAGATCATATCCGGGTCGTATTGCGGTGTTGCCTTGAACTGATTCAGCTCCAACATCAAATCCATGGGGGCGTGGTAGTTCCTGTACAGGGCAAATACCCGGGAAAGTCCCAGCAGCGTGCTGGTCACCATCACCAGAATGGCTATGAACATGCTGTGGTCCAGATAATGAACTCCCGACTTGATTTTGAACACAAGCGATTTGAAGCGAAAGAATATGCGCTGATACACATCCACGGTGATGGCGCCACAAAGTGAGATCAGGGGATAAATGGGGAACAGGAAGCGCTCCTCCTTGTGCGGCTGGGCGAAGAAGACGAGGAGCCACAGGTAGAGCGGAGCCAGCGAGATGTAGTGGGGGAAGTTTAGCGTCGATTTGGATTTGGCTGGCACAATCAGATAGTCCATGACCAGCATGATGGGTAGTTGTAGAGCCAGAAGCTATTAAGAACATAAATTTATACATGTTTTTGAATAAGATAACAGATAAGAACTCACCCAAATAATATTAAAGTTGAGGAAACCATTGATGATGTAGTAACTTAGAGGTTCAGTGCCGAAAATGTTTGGTCCATGGCTGGTGAACACATTGTACCACACAATATTCAGAGGAGCAAATGTCAGTTGGCCAAAGTAGCTGGTATCGATGGCAATCATGGGAATGGCCACTGTGGCCGCCGATATTAGAGTCCACTGCACAAAGGTCTTCCAATCGCGCTGCCTGATCAGCATTTCCAGCACCAGTGGAATGCCAATCAGCGCGGCAAAGGGCCAACCAAGTAGAGCTGAAATAGCAGTCAGGAAGATGGCTAAACAATAGTTTTGCTGCCACCAGGCGGCCAGAGCAGCGCAGCCAAAGTACATGGAAAAGGAGGAGGGCAGCAGGGCGGTGCTGGACACGAACATGCCCACACTGAAGAGCTGGAATATCAGCCACAGACGACCGATGTGTATGCCAAACTCCTGGCAAATGGACCTGGAAATAATAGATTAATGTTATTATTCTTTCCTGGAGGGATTGTTCTGCTATCCCTACTTGTACATATATCGCTCCATCACCGCGCAGGCGAAGCCCAGCATACATCGCACCATGTAGAAGATGAGAATGGGACTGGGATTGAACATCTTTTGGTAAAAGTAACCGGGCACGCCCTGCAGCAAAAGGTAGGTGTACGAACGCAGTCCGAACTGCGGGCTGTACTCCCACGTCTGCAGTCCATGGCCATTGATGATGTAGTGCAGGGGCTCCCAGTAGTTGAAGGTCTCGTCACAGTCTGCGATGTAGGCCCAAATGGCGCTGCACAAACGGGCGCTCACAAAGGTTTTGAAGGCGGTCTGGACACTGGGCATTATGGGATTGGGCAGGCCCTTCTCCTGGCCTCCACTCACCGATTGCTTGCTGTGAGAGGGGCAGTAATCTTGATCAAATCTGGATTTACCTATAGACAACACCCACTTACCGCTTCTTGGTTTCCTTCTCCTTCTTTTTGCCGGCCGGTGCGGCTTCCTTGGTCTTGTTGTTGCTGCCATTCAGGCCCAGTCGTTTGGGCGGCTTCTTGGACAGAATCTGGTTGTCCGCCTTGTTGGCTATGTAGCGAGCCCGCGCAGCCGGAGGCGCCATAATCCGGACTTTCTGCGAAAATTGCCTGAGAAAAAGTCTTGCAAAATATTTATCAATATTATGTGGCGAAGGTTATCGATAGCAGCAAAGCTATCGGATATGCTGGTCGTGAGTGTATGCATTTCAGCTGGGGTATTCTTGCGGAATCGGACTGTTATCGATATATTACAAATTTCGGGGTCACCTATTTTTTTAATAAATAAATTAAAATAGAATCAACTGTTATATTTATACATTTAATAATAAAAATTGAAGAAGAAAAAATATACAAAGACAAAGATGAAAAACGATTTAAGCTGAGTTCCGAATTGGCAGGTAATGAACAATAACAATGCACACTGAAATAAACAAAAATTTTAGAAATGCTCAGTTAATTAGGTTTAATTCACCTACCAATAAGAGTGCAAGTAAACATGGCAAAGGTGGTATTGCAATAAGGTTGGAGCATAACGCCCATTAAGTTTGTAGCTGCGATGATGCCAAGTCGTCCCAGGGACATGCAAAAGCTAACTGCCTTTGATCTAATCGTAAAAGATAAACAATAAATTAAAGTGTATTTAAATGGTTTCAAATTTACCTCAAGTTTGTGGGAACCAGATCAACGATGGCGCCTATCATAATTGAAATCGAGAGACCAGGCAAAAGAATGTAAAGGCAAAATAAGACAAGTACTCCCGTGGGATTTTCCATAAAGTGCAGCAAAACTCCGCTCAGAACTGCAACTGCAAGGGCCGCTAGCAGGACATTCTTTCGACCCAAAGGATTAAGTATCACTCCTTGAATAGAGAAACCAATTAAAAATGCAAAGCCTACAATAAGGTTGTCGATATAGGTTTTGCTCGAAATGGGATCAGAGCAGTCCTAAAATATTAGAAAATATAAATATTAAAAAAAGATATTTTGCGAAATATTAAAAATATTTACCAAAGTTTCAGTTACGTTGGGTTTTTCTACAGGTACACTCAGAATTTCGCAGACTGTAGAAGAATTATTTTCTGCACCCGATGAGCGGTTGACAATTTCTGGAAACCAAAGTTGCATCCCGTTTGAACTAAGGAAAATAAAATTGATGTGTAATTTAAACTTGTTAAAAAACGCTTAAAGAAAAAGATTACCTGAAAAACATTCCAAACAGTGCCAAATTACAAAGAATGAAATTAAATCCATGGGGCTTGTGGAAGAGTGGAACTGTGGCTCTGCAAATTTTGGATAATATACCACATCCTTGGCTTTCGGCCAACAAATTTTCGCCAGCTGGATCTTCTGATTTCAGTGTGAACTCATCACAATTTAGGACTTGATGTATTGATTTGCCTCGGTTAAATTTGCTAATCCATCCAACGGCTTCTACAGCCTCCTTGTTCTTATCTTGTGATAGTAACAGTTTCGGGCTCTCAGGATATAATAATAATATCAAGCCGCCAATAAGTCCTGGGAGAAGACTAACTAGGAGCAGTAGACGCCATGGCCGAAATACAAAATCCCCAATGGTAATGGCCCAATTTGAGGAAAGCACCAGCCAAGCAGTTGCTAAAGGGTTAAGAAACTTAGATGCATTATTCATTACTAATCTATTAATAGACAAGCATACCTGGAACATATATTGCCGTAACACTAACAAACATTGTCGAATAATTAATCGCCACCGCTCGATGTCGGGGTATATTGAATTCACTTAGATATGCATAGAGTGCTGCCGACACTGCACCGACACTATTATAATTGAATGTGAGAATTACATCATTAAATGGTATTTAAAAGAAAAACTGCATAGAAGTTAAGAGTACAGATAGTACTCCCTATAACTCACCTGATTCCAACAAGGAGGTTGATAATGTTAAAGACCCAAACGCTGGTAACGAACATCAGAATAAATTGCAGGGCATTGCTAGCGAAATTACCATAGAGTAGAACTTTCCGGCGTCCTATATCGTCGCTTATGTATCCCCATATATAGGTCGATAGAAAAATACCTGTTTAGAATTAAGAAAATTCAACTGTTTTCTCTGTAATATATTTTTGATCTTGACTCACCTGTAACACTAGCCGCCATCATCACGCCTTTTTCAGCCTGTGTCGTTTCAAACTCACAATGCGAGGCGATCACAATAATACCCATGACTTGTTGGGATGCAACCGATGTGATTGTCAACAGCCCGCTGACAAGCAGGAGTATCCATTGCGTTTTTCCATAACCTGGTATCCCCAAAAATCCCCATTAGTAACGTGTGAGATCGAGTGTGAGATTTACTTTACCGATCTTCTCCAATATCAGATCGTAGTCCCAGACATTGGGACCGAGGGTATTGCTCTCCAGCGAGCTGTGCATCTTGACATTCCCAAGATATTTGGCGACTGGTCAGCCAGTTAGTGCAACACTTGCTTTTAAGCATTGTATTCTAATAACCCCCCGTGTAAAACACTTGAGCGACATGTGAACCGCAAACCAGTTTTGAGATTAAAGCATTCGCGATTTTATTTCAATTTAAACATTTTGCTGAGAGATCTTGGGCACATCAATGAATTGGATTTTATATGCAAACTGGTCGAGAGAGAATCCGAAAATGCTTTGTTTATATTCACAGCACCGTGGGGGTAGTTCATTTTATCTTGGTATCTTGACTAAAGTGCACTTAACTATTTTGGATTTAATTCAGCAAACATAAATATCTTAATATTGATAAAAAAGTAAAATTCGTGGCCAAAAATACCTCAAAACCTGTACGATATAAAAAAAAGACTGTATACAAGTTCTAAGTGAATTTTCATTGTAATGTTTCGGTCGGTTTAAGTGAGGGAGTGGCCATTCTCTTTTTTATGTTTTTTTTTTTAAGAACAAGGTAATAAAAAAAGCTATTCCACTTTATTGTACTCTAAATACCCCAAAGAAGCGACTTTAAAAACTCATAAAATTAAACTCTAGACAAAAGAAAATGAATTTACTTTATTTACTTTTGTTGTTATTTGTTCAAAATATATTTATTTTCATGTACATTCTTAAATTAAAACATTTATTTAAATGGTACATATATTACTAACTAACTAACCTACTTAAATTATAATGGCAAATCTCAAATGGGTAACAGCAACGTCAAGCTCGCACAAACTGCAAAGGGAAAAAGCAAGTATTAGCTATCATAGTCTCATTAAATGTGTAGATAATACTAACCCAGAACAAATCCAGAGAAAACCCCAAAAGTGAGAGAGCAATACGACTCTAGAAGAACTCCGATGATATTGCTGCCAAAAACGCTGCCCGTACGCCCCAACATGAGGCAAATACAGACGGCTTTTCCGCGAAGGTGAGTGGGTACAAGGTCTACGACCGCACCACTCAGAATCGAGACACAAAGTCCCGGCAATACGAGATATAAGCAGAAGCAAACCACAATTACCACCTCGTCTTTGATAAAGATTAATGCCACTGCACAAGCTCCGGCCAATGTCAAGCCAATCGAAATTGAGGCCTTGCGACCAATTGTGTTTATAATCAGACCCATCACAATGTAGCCAACAATTAGGGCAGATCCATAGGTGATGGTGTCTATGTAGCTCTTTGTGTTGATATGATCGTCGCAAATCTGAAAAATATATTGAAGAAAGCATGCGGTTAGTTTAGATGCTAAATATAGCCTACTTATGAGCTTAAAGCCCAATCCAAATTAATGGTATTATAATCCTGTTAACTTACCTTATTAGTAGCATTGGCTTCCATTTGATCTATTGATGCATCGATAACTTGACAAACTGTCATTGAATCTTCAGCTTCATTGGAACCCAAACGATTTTGTATTTCTGGATACCAAAGACCCATTCCCGAAGAACTGTTTGGAAAATTGTAACTTAATTATTTTCAAAAATCGAAAAGTAAATCCCTTACCTGAAAAACAGACCACACATTATTGTACAGCTAATAACGAAGTTAACCAAATGAGGTCTTTGCAGCAAAGGCAAAGTTTCCTTCCACATTTTCTTGATTGTGGTGAACCTAAAGTAAATTATTAGTTTCTTAGCTGACATATTTGACCAGCAATATAAACTTACGCTGACTTCGAAATAAGTAAAATATTTTCTCCATCCGAATGGTCTTCTGTTTTCAGCTTATGAACCTTGAATTCATGCAAGTGTTTACCGGAATTCGTTACTGCAATCCAATCGACGGCAGCGAAAGCCTCTTCAGTTTTATGCAGGGACATTAGGATCTTGGGACTTTCAGGAAGGGACCACAACATGAGTGTTCCTATGACACCAGGCAGCAAATAGCAAATTGTTAGCAATCGCCAAGGACGGAATGAAAAGTCCTCCGTTATACTAACACTCCAATCCATTGAAAGGATTAACCAGGCAGTTGCTATAATTTGCGAATTATAGTTTAAAATAATTTTAAAACCTTACAGATAGTAATTACCTGGGACATAAACGGTGGAAATTCCCACAAAAAGACTAGCATAGTTAATAGCGATAGGTCTGTGACGGGGAGTGAAGAACTCGCCAAGATACGCATAGGTTGTTGATGATGCTCCCGCAATGCTGTTTAAATAATTATAAAAGAAGAATGTAAGATAACAATTTAGTAATGATGTGAACTAAAACTAAATAGTTTTCCTCAATCTAATATTTAACTAGTTTAATACCAGGAAAAAGCGGTTCATTTGCGTTAAGGTCGGTTCGGAACAGGCTTACAATCCTTATAAATAATAATAAAACACTTCCCCTGACAGCAGTTAATAAACTTGTTATTTGAGTAAGTTGTAAATTACGATCTTAGTTTTTAATTTACTTACAAAAATCCAACTCCGAAACGAATGAAGACGTAAAACCAGTAACTCGGAATCACTGTGGAGCATAAGGATAAGACATTTCCGGCGATCGTCGTATATATCAATACTGGCCTTCGACCAATAGTGTCACTCAGGTAGCCCCAAAAGTAGGATGAACAGAATATGCCTGCAAAATAGTTAATGCCCACGTGAAATATACCGCCATGAAAACGTGAAAGATAAAGTTTACTACCAATGCTGATTAAAATAATTTATGTAATGCGAATGCGAAACGCAAAAAGTGCTCACTCACCGATAAAACTGGCAGCACTCATGATCGCCTTATCCACTGAGTTCATGTTAAAATCGCACTGGGATACGATCGTTATGTAGGACATGCCCATTGTCTCGTTGATGACCATCATCAGGAGAAGTCCTGCCGCAAAAAGGACAATCCATTGCACTCTTCCGAATCCTTGGATATATTAATTAAAACACATGTTAATAACAGATCGCAGGACATTCAGGACATTTTGCACTACCGATTAACTGAAGCACTTCCTCGTATTCGTGACCAGCACTGGGATCTCCTGCCACCGATTTTGGCTTCGACTCAACATCTTGTTGGCCCGATTCCGCACTCATTTTGATCTCGCGGATTGACTTTTTAGATTTCTATCGTTCCCGAACCTGCGACAAACTAAAACTGAAGAAGACCCCGAGGTTGATGTGGGTATAAAAGCAGTGGCAGTGGCAGAATTTGATTCGAGTGATAGAGGACGCCCCTAGAGGTTGGGCTGGGTTATCAGACAGAACAATAAAGATAATTGAGGGGCTAGATGATATTCTGTTTATTTATCAAATGTGTATCACTCATTTGCTACGACTAGAATCTTAAAAAAAAAAGAAGATCGCCCCCCTCACCTACCGGAACTGTCTCGTTTATTCCGTTTTTTCAATTCATTAGAGCAAATAATGCAAAGGTTGGCTTCATTCGCCACCAGGTGCTGTCATAAATTCGCGTGTAATGACACAGAGTAACAAATTTTGGGTATCAATTACATTGACACAGCCAATTATAATTCTTAAAATTTAATAAAACTATTTAATTTTTAAAAATATATTATTAAATTCCAATTACTTACGTAGATACATTTATTAAGGGGGAAAAAAAGAAGTATAAAAAAAATTATGTTATCTTTCCTTAAGAAATAAATATACAGCTTTTTAACATAATAAAAGTTTTTTTAATAATATCTGTAAGATCCCAAGGTAAACACTTGTTTTGTTGAAGAGTGATGCTCTTTGGGGCAATAATTGTTGATGAATGCAATTAAGTGTTGGCTTACTTACAGTAGCAACAGTTCTTTCACAAAAAATATTATGTTTATCTGTTTACCCTCTAATGTTTATGATAATTAAGAGTGTGAAAACGGAATGCCACTTGGGGCTTACCGGCATAAATCCCGGACCCACATGTCGACATACATGTTTGCTTGGGGGAAGTTTACGTACGAGACTGCACCTTGAAGCGACCCTATTGACATCCACAAAAGGCTTGCCCCACAGATCTAGCTTAATTCTAATATTTATAAAACTCTAAACTGTCTAACAAAAACATTTTTAAAAATTGCTTTTTATCGTTTTTTGCAACTTAATTAAAGGGTATCTTCAGGTTTTATTAAGTAAATATACAAATTTTATTAAAAATGCTGTGAATGCTTTTTTTCAATAAAATTGAAACAGATTTATTATAATAATTTATGTCACATCATGTTACAAAACCCTACATCCTTTTGTCGAGTTAAAATAAATAATTTTTACACGGCAACTTGTCGCTTTCGATCTTTTCACTCCACTGAAAAATAAAGCACTGAGTCAAACCCCATTTAATATGAAAATATATTGATTTTAAACAGCAAATTGTCTTAAAAAAACAGGTTCCAAAATAGAACAAATTGAAATAATTACATAGTTAGAAACCTTGAAACAAAAAACCATTTTAAATCGGATTATAATCTGGTTTTTATCAGACGGCTTTGAAGAAATGTAGTTGGAGTGTTTTAATTTTACAATACAACACAGATAGGCAAATATTATGGTCAAATTATTTAATATAAAATCCAAACAAAAAATAACTTAAAATATAAAAATTAAAAAAAATAAGAAATATTTAGGAATGTATTATGCATGAACTTAAAAAATCTCACTAAAATAGTGAGTGATTATTATTAAAATAAATTCAAATAAATTGCGTTTTGTTCATTCTCGCGAGTTTCACCGTAATATATCGATAAGATTTCGTGGAGGTATCGCACTATGCCTACCGATATGCTGTTGACACGTCCAGTTTATTTACAATTTTAACGAAATAACATAAATTGCAATTTATGGCTGATTTTCAAGAACAGCTGCGACAATATCGCGTTCAAAAAAGGAGGAAGGAAACGGTTGACAACTTCAAGGACAAATTGCGCAGATTCTGGATGTTGGGGACCGGAGCTAACAAAGATACAACAATAGAGGTACAACAGGTAAGAAAACTATGAAAATGTATCTTTACATTTAATAATATTTATTTGCTTGATATACATAGGTACCCCCTAAAGCGGAAGTTATTTCGGAAAATTCTTTGGATGAGGCTGGGACCTCCAGTGAAAATGAACTGATGCCAGAGGAGAGCCCCTCAAGATCCACAGATCATCATTTCAAGGAAAACAACGGCCTGAAGTACACCCTCTGGGCCGTCTATCTTTTGTTTTGGATAACTCTCTATGTAATAGCCATAAAACTAAGTTTTGGATTAGTTTTCCTTATGTTCTCCGCACTTTTTGGCATCTATTTTAATACCCGAACGGATCCAAAGAAGGGGAACGAGATGAGCGCCTATAGTGTTTTCAACAAAAATTGTGAAAGTATAGACGGCACCTTGAAGGCCGAGCAATTCGAACGAGAAATTCGCTATGGATCAGGAAGTGTACGATAGTAACGTCTAAGAGATCCCTCAATAACTGTAATATAGGCAATATAAAAAAATATTAACATACAAACCCATTTATTGTAATTGTTTGGCTGTAATAGAACAATCTTCAAGGTATCTCAAGATGTGTTACCATTAATAGTTTTCCATTTACTACCCAAGAAAAATTTAAATAATGTAAATGTGCAATTCTAAGGTTGTATCTTTTTTATTGGTAAAGTATAAATTCATTAATTCAAACGTTTTCCGCAACAAAACACAAATTGAAGTCTCGAATTTTGTATATCAATTTCTTCAATATCCAATATCAATAAATTGATTATTTTAAATAAGTGCAGACGATATTTTAGATTAGGTCCTATTTATTAGCTAATCTTACAGTCTGCGATTTATCTAACAACAAGTATTTATGTATATACACTATAAGTTATGGGATACATTCATTACATTTAATAAGGCTGTTGAAATAGTTTCTAGAAAGTTTATGTTTTTAGGTCTTAGTGCATAGATTTTCATGGCAAAGGATAGGTAAACGAACATCATAACGATTGAGTAACTGTATCCATCTATTTATCCGTGCATCCATTTAGTGAACATTCAGTGCTCAGTTGATCAATTCCGCGATCTCTTTAGTTTAGCAACTACATCTATGAGTATTGTTATGTACAAACTAAAATAGGGTTTTTATTCTACCGTACTAGTTAAGGTCCTGTAACGTTGTTGTTTCCCTGGGTTAGCGAGGGAAAGCTATCGAGTCACCTATTTCCACTCACATGTGGAACTCCTGATCCTGAGCCAGCAGGAGCTCCCTGGCGTGGGAACTGTACGCCGCGTGCTAGCACTTCGGCAGGAAGGACTTTCTGGAGGGCAGCAGGCAGAGGATGCTCAGCGCCATCACCATGTGCCAGATGGAGTGGACAATGTGGTAATTTTGCTTGGTCTGCAGGAAGGCATAGCACACCAGGCCGGCGACCACGAGGGTCAGACCGAAGGGCAGCCACACCGAGAGGTATCTTCGCGAGGGGAATAGCTTCCTTGACTTGGCACATCTCAGTCCCCAGCTGGTCGAGATCAGGCAGATCCCCGTTAGAGCCGGGGCCAGGAATACCCACAAGCTCTGCTTATTCAGCTCCGTTCCAAAGGCCAACAGAATGGCTCCAAACATATGCAGCAGAGAGACAAACTCCGAACGGACATGAGCCATGGCCACCAGGGTCACCCAGATGCTCAGCAGGCCGCAGTAGAAGTCGCAGAACTGCAGCACCCCGATCTTCACCAGGCAGAAGCTGTACTCATCCTCGCCAGCGTCGCAGGCGTGGTAGAAAATCGAGAAGAACATGGCGAAGAAGTAGATGACGCCCTCGGTGTAGTAGCGCCTCTTGACCGCCATGTAGATGCTCGGGAAGAAGAGCAGGTTGCTCAGCGTCAGCAGCAGGGTGGCCATCAGAATGGACATGTTGGTGGGCACCTGCGAGTCCTCCGTGCAATCCCATCCGCGATAGCCCTTCGAGCAGACGCATGTGGAGAATACGAATCCGCCGGACATGTAGTGATAGCACCGCCCAAAGCGTCCACATCTCCCCGCCACACAGGGACTGGAGGACACCGAAAAGACCACCGAGGTATTGCAGTTCTCCACCGCCACATGCTGCTCCATGGCCGCCTTGTGGTGCTCGACGAAGAGCCGCGTCATCTGCTTGGAATTGCTGCTGCACTTGTCGTCCATAATGCACTCCTTCACCTTTAGCGTCTCGGTTTCGTTCATTGCCTCCAGGCAATCCGGTGATTTCAAACAGTCTGTGTAGCGGGGTACAGATTCGGCACAGTCACATGGGGAACGCATATCCCCCAACATGTCCTGGTGCTTCCTGATAAACTCCTTCACGCTCTCCATGATGGACACTCGAGCGGTTCCGGATCCGTGACAGAACAAGCCCATGGTCACATACCTGCGAGAAGAATGGTATAATAATTAATTATTCTAGTATATCCTTCAAAACTGTATTTCTTTCCCTGTCCGTATCTTTGTCCGTATCTCTGTCCGTGTCCCTGTTCGTTTCTTTGTCGGTATCTCTGTTCGTATTTCTGTCCGTATCTCTGTCCGTTACTCTATCCGTACCTTTCTCCGTAACTCTGTCCATATCTCTGTTTATATCTCTGTCCGTATCTCTGTCCGTAAATTCTGGAATATTATCCTATACTACTTTCTCACCATCGTCCGCTCTCGGGGAAGGGTACGTGGACCAGGCCCATGTTCTCCGTGTGGTTCACAATAATGGAGGCCTGCTTCAGCCGCTGTCCGTAGCGACACTTGTCCGGATATTCCGGCTCGCCTGGCTCACCCAGCTGCATGCAGACGACAATCTGCATGCTCTGGTTGCTGGATGTTTTGATGGCGGGCACTACCTCCTCCTTGGGATCCCCGATCAGCCGCTCGGCCAGGATACCGCCCAGATCCGGTGACTGAGTGGGCGGGCTCAACCGCAAACTGGCGCGATGCGACTCCTTCATGGAAATGGCGAAGGTTAAGGTCCCACCGATGTCCGAAACTTCGCCCAGGTCAAAGGAAAATCCAGAATGGGTTTTGGCCGTGAGATTGAGTGTTTCGGGCACCGTGCCATTGACGTCCGGCCGCAGATCGTAGTCGAACATAAAGAATTCGCGGTACGTCTGCCGTAGCAGCGAGTAAAAGTTCATTTGACGGAATTTGGTGGGTTCCCAGGGATTCGGAGTGGAACTGTTGGAGGTGTTCGTAAGACTCTTTGGTTTCTCCGCCAGGCTAACCGGCTCTTCGGCTATGTAATCAATTTGCAAAGCATACGATAAACTATGATTGCTGCTTTCGACTGGTATTTCCGATTCATCCGCCCCGTTGACAAAGGTCAACAGGGCATAGTGCCAGGCATTTGGCTGCACGCCGAACGGAATAGAGATTTCCGTCGTCTGGTTTGGCCGGATGATGGTCCCATGGCCATGGCTCTGATCCGTAGTACCGCCCATTGGGTATCCATTGGCCCGCACATGGAAGCCCACCGCCGGACAGTCGTCGCAGACTTGGTCGAATGTTATCCGGACCGTGGCATCGCCTATATCGTCTGGCACATAGAATCTGTAAATGATTTCATTGTTTGCGGTCGGTGTGCTGTTGTGGTTTTCCGTGATATTCTGAAATTGAGCAGCTTTCGATTCGACAACAGCTGTTGTTGTCCTCTGTTGCTGCTTGGGCGGAATGGAGCGCAGGAGTCTGGATGCTCCCTCCTTGATATTGGTTCCATTAACTCCACTGGGCTCGGAGCCCAGAACATGACTAGTTAGATTGTCCTGATGCTCCTGGCCATTGTTTATGATAATCGGACGGAATCGGGACACGGACATCTCGGCGGACAACAGTGTGTCACATGAGGCTGTGAGTCCTGCAAAAAAAAATTAAATTCATAAATATTCATGGGTCTAAACACAAAGCCAAAATAATCCCAATCGGTATTTTTGCATATATATGTATATGTATATATGCAAAAGGTTTTTATCTCTGGGGGTAACAAAGTCCAATTTGGCAAATATCTTTTGTTTTTATCATGCTGGGGTGTCGAACAAATATTTGCATACTTTTTGAAATAAATAAATAATATTCTGTGTATCAAAATATGACTTTAAAAACCATAAATTGAGCCTAAAAGTTTCTTTACCTTGTTGTTCAATGCGGTCATTATTGGGATCTGACCAACTCACAAAAGCCACTGCAAACCAGTTGCCTATGTGAGGACCCTCTATGGTGATACGCTGCTGCTGTTCATCGGATAAGAACTGCAGATTATATACCTTGAATCTGTAGGAAATATTGTGATTATAATTATTACCATCCTAAATTTCACTTACCTCTGATCCGTGGTAAAGAAGTTCTTGGGAAAGGTTATATTTTCGGGACTTATCACTGGGTAACTGCTCGCCTTCAGATGCAGCGTGACATCCTTGGGCTTGCACTTTCGTTCTGAAAAAAAACAATTAGTTACAAAGTGTATTCCCAATTTATATAAACTATACTAACGAAAGGCACTTTTGGGATCCTCGAAAGCTTTGAATGTGAAGTAAGCTGTTCGGGAATCGGGTGGAACATCGAAATGCAGGATGGAGACATCCTTGTAGGATGTGTACTTGAGCAGTGAGTTTGAGGGCAGTCGCACAACCAGCTCCTGATCCTCTGGCAATTTCATTTCCTCAATCGGCACATACTTTGTGTATTCATCTGAGGGATTTTGCAGCACAGGAACACTTGAGTCCACCATCAATCGCTGGTCGATTAGCAGTAACATGAACACCACCAGAGGACTGCAGTTGGGACGATGTGTCAGTCTCTGAATCATCCTGACCGGCGTAACTCTATCTATATCCTTTACGAGTAATAGTAACTCCTGGAAATAAATGAAACGAAATTAAAATTAAATGAGTTTCGTGTATGTATGATTTAAAGACACCATTATGTTAAAACTTTCGATTGGGTAATTTGTTTTTATTTCGCGTGCCATTTGCAGGGGCAAGCTGGCTCAACTAGATTGCGCTATAAGCCGTATAGGGGCCATGGTTTTGAGCACAAACACACGAAATGCTGGGCCTACGGATGAGCATAAATGTACATATTCCCACACCAAAAGTTTTTGGCACAAGTACGGCAGACATAAAGGCTTTTTGTATGCTGGTGCAAGTAAATTGCACCGTTTGCAAAAATGCCGAATTCCGGCCCATTTATGTGGCGCGACCAAAAACCAATGGGTGTGTGTGTAAAGTCGGAGCTGTGGAAGTTGTCCGGCAAAAAGCGAAATAAAAAAGTTCTGCACTCGATGCGGTGACGCTGGGCCTGAACTGTGCATTGTTGGCTAACACCTACTATAATTTATGGCCGACTTGTAGCCCCGGAAGACTCAAAAGCTATCTCGACCAGACTGTTGGATGCGTTGGATTAAAGAGCGGGGTTTACCTCTTATTCACAAAGAATTGATATTCCACCTCATAATATATGAAATAAAAATATATCAAACTTAAGTTTGATTTACTCAGTAGAACCTGTTGCAGTTTCAAGCACAAAATAATATTTATTTACATTCAACTTTTTATGCACTAAACGAGCACAAAATGCGGCCGAATTTATATATTGTTTATGAGGTATATGGTTCTATAATATATACATATGTGGGTTTCAGAGAGCTTTTAATTAGCAAACGTATGAGTTTTCAGCCAGAGAGACGCGACACATCTGACGCCTCTGGGTTTTTTGTTTATAGAATTCGTGTTTGACCTAAAGTCTTATCAGTGCCACTCAATTTTCTTATCGAATCATTGTAGAAACATGTATGAGCGCTTATCAGCTTGGCTACGAGCTCACTCATTGTATGAGGCTATGACGATTTATTATAGCACAATTTATATTTCTATTCCATTTAAATGCATTTCAATTGAGAGCCATTTTTATAGGGGGTGAATATGAAACAATAGCACACACAACCGTTCAACTTTTCGCTCTAATATTTAGTGAGTCATTCCTGCCGAATGACGTTCAATTTTTTAATCATTAATTAAGTTGATAAGATCTTGATATATTAATATTGAAAATATTATGTTTGGCCGAGAAATTACCGAAACACTCGACTCTGCCGGTCAGCAATAGACTGAAAGCATGAGCTCAGCTTACCTGCTTTGCTTTTGTTTATATTACTCGCAGAATGCAGGTTTCGAAATGGCCAAGACTTGTGAATGAGTCTTGGGAGAGGTTTTATACTTTTTTGGCTAACACTGGTCCGCGGGGAAAATCCGCGTGACGCATTCAAGTTTACGATGCATTTGGGTAAATAAATAAGTATGCTTCGCTTGGCACTTAGGTAAATAAACTGTCGCGGAAAAGCTTCGTTTCGACTTGTTTTGGAAATTCCTTGCCGTTGTCATTGGCGACGCTGCTACTGCAATCGACCGCTGATATTGGATAGTCGTAAAACAGATAACGGCTTTGATTAAATGGCTCGGGGCACAAAGCTCCATTGTTTCTGGGAAAATGGGGGAAATCCCAGAGCAAAAGCGTAATGAGCTTGGGGTAAGGGTTTAGTAAAACTATAAAAGATAAGACCTGAGTTTAATGAATAATATTTTGAAAGTAAATAATAAAAAAAAATGTTATTTGAATTTTATAATAGTTTACACATGTTTTCGCTATGTTAATTATTATAAAAATTTTAAATTAAAATACTTACTCAATGTAAATGTGTTTATAAAATAAATGTTATACACCAATTCAACAAACACCCAACTCGTTCAAATCCACATTAAAGACGCTAATTATTCTTATCAAGAGTCGACTATGTGTCTTATTTGAGTAAAAATACAGAATGAACTGGCACTGGTTACTGATAACTAAATTAAATTGAATCTGTGAATCCACAAAACATAATTCTTTGGGCGAGAGATAATTTGAGAGCGGGTTGAGAGAGGGTTTTTGAGAGATACGATCCACAAGAGAGCAAGTTCAAGTTCGTTTCCTACGGCTACTAAACAAGTTTTTCGTTTTCGAGAGAGCGGAGAGCAGACAATTCGGGGGATCGTATGGGGCTAAGTCTTTGGGACTGGGCTGGGGCACAAGCTATAGCCTCAGTTGTCAGTCCGCCGAGTGGTTAAACGCATCGCCGTTCGAGTCCCGCTTTGGGATCGCCCCATACGCAACCCGTGAAAGTTTGTGGATACCAGTTTCAGTGGCTTTGTGTACAATCTATATATGTGAAATTCAGCGCAAAATCCCACCCTAAAATAAAAGTAATAATAGCTGGAAATGAAAATCAAATTTAAACAATGTGCCAAGCGGTGACTCATTGTTACCAAAAAGAGATGCGTGTGAATTTGTTAATTAGCATATTGGAGTGGCCTCTTTCGCTGGCTTAAAGTCGATATATTTATATAATTCAATTATCAGCTAGTGTTTCGTGGTGCCATTCTAAAGTGCAAACACGCCTCAAACCGGAGTTTTGTTTGCTTTCAAAGCGTCCTTATAAATTATTTAAATTATTTAAATACACAAAAGACGACACATTGCCAAGCATTCCCATTCCCTCTCTCTTTCGCCCCAATCCATCCGTCTCTTTCCGTGCGATCTTAAACTATGCGAGAGTGTACATATACAATTGCGGTCAAAATGGTAAAAGAACATAGCTACAAAAATAAACTATAAAATTAAATATGACTTCTGGACGGCCAAATAATTCTTCCCCAATTTGTTGATTGGTTCGGAAATAACTTAATATCAAAAAAAAAAAAATATGACTTCTAACATTTTTGTTACCTGGTCGCTTTTTAAAGACTTTTAATATTTTAAAGATTGTAAAATAAATATAAAATATGAAATAAATGTCTGCCCCGTCTACTAAAATTATTAGAAAAACCATTTAAATGCTTGATAACTTGTATTTATTTTTTCAAAACATGAGTTAGCACTTCTATTATCTTGACCGCTGCTGTTCATATATTGGGGCTGTGCTCGGTTGCCCAGTTTGTTTTGCTATTGCGCCATGCACCCGATGCCGTATACGTCAAAAAGAGAAATCGCCGACCCGCTTCATGACGCGCAGCGTCTTAAGTTATATTTTCTTTTAGTTGAGAGCGTGTGATGTGTGCCCTTCACTCAAAAATATATATTTCAACACTCATATCCTGGTTCATTGCAACCAGTTGGAAGCGGCAGAGTGTTTTTAATATTTCCGGGATATAACAAGTGTCTGTCTCCTTTTAGTTAATTTAATAAAACACATTCCTACGCTGGAATCTGCAGGATCCGGACTTTGTGAACTCCCACGCACATACATATATGTTATTCGATTTTATTTCACCCAGAGTAAACAGCCGTTTTTAATTAAAATTTCATCACCTTGTCTCAGTCCTCGGACATCTGGCAGGCTGCCGCTTAGGCGGTTGATTGCGCAATGGTTTATCACCATCACAACCACGAAAGTCGGATAATACACTGCAGAAAACAATTACTTTCCTGGCGCCGGAGGAGCTTGCTGTTAACCATTTTTGTGGTGACAGCCACAGCGGTTTCACTGATTTCACAAGAAGGTAAGTTATTATTTTCCCTCATGAGCTTTAATAAATAATATTTAAACGGATCCATATTTATAGAGTCAATCTTTAATCAAAATATTTCTATCATGTTGACACTAAGCCCTTAAGCATGCCTATCTTTCTTATCCATATCCCATCCACCAATTAGAAAATATCATTAGGTAAATATGAGGGTACCGGGTCAATAGTCTCTGCCTATCTTGATGACAAAACAAGTTAATGACCACAACACCGATGCGTAATTGGTACCCAAAACAATGCGAATCGCTCTTGAAGTCCCACAATGGTCCACTTGTCCCCGTGGGCGAGAAAAACAAATGGATCCAAATCCGAGCTCCAGTACATTTAGCCTTGACCGTGAATGTTTCACCAGCTTCGTAGATGTAGATGTCATTCCATCGAAGGCGTTTAATTCCCAGTGTTTTGAACTGTTTATTCGACTAATGGACCGGAAATAAGTTGCGATTGTTTATAGCCAAAATAAAATCCAATCGATCTCTTGAGTTTTAAATTAGATAGATTTAAGATAGATAAATGAAAAGAAATTTATTTAGAATTTTATTATAGTTTATCTGTCGGCAATGAATTAATATAATCGATACCGCTATCAATCAAATATGTTCTGTGAGATAAATATATCCTTCATTATGAAGCACTCTATATAATTAATCATTGTTAAAAGCACTATCAACAGTTAAATAAATACTTGGTTACCATCTTTATTAGTACCGATATGAAAATTGATTGAGCATTTTGTAAATATGGTATTTATAAAGTGCAAATAAAACTAAATCTTTAAAGCACTAAATTAGAACCTAGATGTGAAATGAAAATTTTTTAAACTCGTCAAATGAACCCCAGAAAAATTTAAGTAGATAATTTATAAAACTCCTTATTAATATGGCTGTCAGGCTGAAATTCTCATTCACGCACATGCCTCATCAGCATATTGTGCAATATTTAAGTGAAACGGAACATTTCGCCGAGCATCGTAATATATAACGCAGTCGTGAATATCTGGATGTGGATGGGCTTACACGCGGACCAAGTTAAGTCCCCAACGAGAGCGTGTTTCATCCGAGACCTCAGACCTGTTTGGCCACGCAATCCGCAGCGCCAAAAACATTCTGCTCACTTAAGCCATGCCGTCAGACACGCTGCTCTTGGCCAAAAAAATAAGAAAATAAGAAAATACTCTCCTTTAGCCGTTCTCCGGGCCACAGACATATCGACCATATAGCCATATATCACGTATACGTATTCGTTACATGTGTGCGCATTTGTATCTGAAGGTCGAGAAGAGATATGTACAAGTGCAAACAGCAAACAACCCAAGCAACCGGTTATCACGTCACGTCGCTTAGGTCCATTGAATGATGCTTATGGCTGACTTATGTTATAGAGCGCAAAGAAATCAACTGAATATGCGAATATTTCACGGACATTCTCGGTGGACAATGAACCGATATTGATATTGAGCTATTCGTTAGGAAAACTATTTTTCCCCAGATGTTGCAATCTGGCCTCCTCCCAAATACCAAAAAAGTGGTTGCCTTTGTCTGCCTTTGGCAATTGTTCAAATCACTGGCTCCTAAGTGGGAGACATCCGGGTCAATAGCTGGCACTCGGAATATCTGAATGAACTTGGCTGCCAACTGTTGTTGGCTTGGCCCATAGAAATGCAGGCAAAGTCGTCGTCGCCTTAACCAATTAATCGCTCTGTCGTCATGGGTTTCGACGGCTTTAACTGGATTTAATAAGCGGTTGCATTGAGATTACAAAACAAGTTAATCTCTTCACACACTCGCGCCATTTTGCCAGTGATATCACGTTTTTGTCTCGCGGTTTTTTGAGTGGAAAAAACAGATTAGAGAATCGGAATTAGGGCACAATTGCTTAAACACACAAATTTTATTACCTCTAATTGTTACTTTAGTTGTACAATTATACAAAAGGGTGTTAAAAGATTAAGTGAAAAACCTTAGAGCTTAAAAAGTAACGGAAAGAACTAAATGCCCCAACAAACAAGTCTCCCAAAAAAAATAATTAATAATTCTTTTTACTTTAGAATCATTAAGAAGTGGTTGTAAATAGCGTTTATCAGTGGGAAAAACAGAACGGGAAGGTAATAATATTATTATAAATGATTAATTGCTTAAACACCTAATTATACAAAAGTGTTTTTAGATAAATTAAAAAGCCTTAGAGCTTCAATAGTAATGGGAAAAATTCAATCAAATTCTAGGTAAATAGTTCTTTCCTGCTTTATATAAGTCATTAATAATAATGTTTAAAAAAAAATCGTATACAAAGAATTGTTGTTACATATAGAAACTTTAAGAAGCTCGTTTTAAAATGTATAATGAAATGAAATAAATGATGGGATTTCGTTGCATTGAATGAACACTTTTCAAAAACCGGTACTGTAACATCCGAGAATCTGTCTTAGTACAAAATAACCTGTTGTTAATGGACCTGCTATAAGACTGCATTTTAAGCCATTAATTCTTAATTCATGTATTTCAACTTACAGCCGAGGCCCACGATCAGAATGCTCCGCCGATTCTCTATGTTCGCGAGCGCAATTGGCGAATTTCGGAGACCGAGAAAGTCGGTCAGATAATAGATCGAGTGCGGGCAGAGGATCCGGATGGCGATGACCTGATATTTGGCATCGAACCTCGATTTAGCCTGCCACCGGGAAGTGGTGGAAAAGACGCTAGTTCAACGAAAACGATACCCTTTCAAATTGATCGGGAAACGGGAGTAGTCACTCTCAACGAAAGTTTGGCGGGAAGGGTGAGTACACTCAGAAAATGAATCGCCCTGAATTTTAGAAAATCGCCTATGGATTTGCTTCACTGGCGATTTTTTTCTTTAAAATAAAAAAATTTTCTACTGGTAAAGAAAATTTTCTTCCAATTAATCAAAATTCATTAAATTCAAGAAATATTCCAGAAATATAGAAAAAAATCGCCAGTAAAGCAAATCCATAGGCGATTTTCTAAAATTTTTTTTTGAGTGTAAAATAAAAGATATCATATATGCTATTTTTTTTACAATAAATTTCCCTCTCTTCCCAGGCCGGTGAGAATTTTCTCATCTATATAACTGTCACCGATGGCCTTTATACGGCGAAAAATGAGGTTTTCATCAATATCTTGGGCGAGCGGGAGAACAGCTCGGGCTACCGACCGCAGACATCGATTTCGAACGTGGTGTCGCAGTTTCTGCCGCGTTTCGACCAGCTGCCCGGTGTTCAGTCCATCCGGAATGGCCTGCCAAATAGCCGGCCAGGTGGGGGTGGTGGTCTATATCCACCGGTGCCGCAGAACAATATATTCGGTCAGCCGTCATTCGGTAACTTTTACCCACCGCCACCGCCGAATATTGGTGCGAATGAAAGTGCCGAGGAGGAGGAAGATGGGGTGACCACCACCACCACCACAACAGCCGTCAGAAGCAGCTCCACCACCACGCCGAAGAGTCGCACCAAACTGACGCCGATAACTGCCAATAATTCGACGAGGGTCGAGCAAATCCCCACGGAGAAGGAGACTACACCGAGTTATAACAACAACACCAGCTCCAACATCAGTCCCATTTTCTCACTCAAGTCCGGGACAATTCCGATTGTGGTCACTGTTGGCGGCTTTTTTGCCGCCATCGCCGTGCTGCTGGCGTACTTGTGCCGCCGACGGTTGTGTGCCATCAGCAGGACCCTCAAGAAGTCCAAGGAGAAGGAGGAGCTGGCCAAGAAGTCCAATCAGAGCCAACTGAGCAGCACGCTGACCGACGACAGCCGCAACTCGATGGTCATGCAGCAGTGGCAGGGCCCCGTGGCCTTCGCCAATCGCTATGTTCCCTGGGAGCGGGATCAGCAGCTGGGCATTGTGAGTGGAATAGCACTAATTTTGAAGGACACTCCTGTAACCACTAATCTCCCAGTGGGTTTTCGTCAAGCTGGGCACATAAATCTTGTAGGGAAGTCTTGGATCTTGGGATTTTCTTATCAGATTGGCAAAATTTTATATTAGGTATCTAAGATAAATGAAGAAATTTATTATGGGGAATTATAGACATTTAGATTAGGAAAGCTGAATTTACTGAACACAAGTTTTAATATCTGAATATATTTTGGGGATTTTAGGGATTTCCTTATTAGATTGGTAAAAGTATAATTTACAATAATTGGCTTTAATGATTTTTTATTATTATTATTATCCTGGCTATGTGAAAAAAGCCTCTGTGGTTTCTTTAGAATTAAATTTTTAGGAGGAAATTATAATTTTAAATATTTTAAATGTTCTTATTAGATTGGGAAAACTTAATATTCTGAACGAAAGTTTCCCTAACTTTTTATTATCACTTTTTTAGTTTATTCAACATAAATATGTTATTATTATTATCATTTTAAGACAATTGCATTTAGTCCGGTTGGTTTTCGAAAAGGTTTACTTTTTGTTAGAAAAATATTAGGCACAAAGGGCATTATAAAATAAAAGCTTTAATCTAAGCATCGAAATAGAAGCCCTAGTAATCGTGAATTCATATCTCAGGTCCTTTTGAAGTGATTGCATAAAATTAGTGAGCGATGCACAAAAGCTTATGCAAATATCGATCGATTTCCAGCCCCCTCACCGTCACCCCCTTCGTTTTGGGAGTGATTGAGGCTTAGAGCCCGGAGTCCCTAATCGACAGCTACTCGAGCAGAGATTTCAACCTCAGTTGGCTCACTCAACGCCTCCGCAGAGCCGTTCTGTTCATCTCGTCCTGCGACCTGCGTCCTGCGTCCTTTGGTCCTGTCACCCACACAGCAGCGGCCACAGAGCACAGCGGCAGTGTAATTGACAGGAAAAAGTAGCTCAATGCAGCTGCATGCGAGGGCTTAGAGCCTGACTGCCTGACTGCCGGGAATGTCCTTTCATTCGATTCCCATTTATTGACAGCGAATGCCAAAACCCCGCGTCATCAGCATCGCATCCAACGTAACCAATCCGCGCGTAAAAATTTGACATTCAATGGTGCTGACAGGCGGGTTTTTTCAATTCCGAATTGCGTACTTTGTTATGACAATGAATTTTATTAGTTGAATAAATTAGGTAATTTATTTTGACATAAAAAGGAAAATACAATTTGGGTTTTTGTAGTTAAATGAAATTTATTTTTGCTACCTCAACAAATTTTCTGCATTTAATTTTTCATGCTATTTTGAAATGTGTCGCTCTGCACAGATTTTATGTCAATCCAAGTTTATCCAGGATTTCTTTCCCGTCACCCATTTAAACATAATGACAACCAAAAGGGGAACACAACTAATCAATGTATTTTATCTTGTATTTCTGAATCCTGAAACCTGAAATTCCGACACAAATATCAACATCGATGGCATTTTCGTTTCCTTGGACGCTGCTGCCAACTACCAACAATGCTGTCGCTCAAAGGCAACATCGCAGTTATCAACAGGTGTCACAAACGGTGGCGAGTCCTCCGGAGTCGGAGTGTCCAGTGGTCCTGGGACAGGTGAGCCGGGATCTCCTGGCTGCCTGGCAGGTGGAGCCGGAAGTCCTGGTGCAGCGGAAAATGGTTTTGCCAACGGAGAGGCCAACGGCGACCGCTGGGAATTCCCCAGGTACCGATTGAAGTTCTTCAATATATTGGGCGAAGGCGCCTTCGGACAAGTTTGGCGCTGCGAGGCCACCAACATAAATGGTAAGTTTTAATTGAATAAGGAAAGTATTAACTGAATAGCGAACATCGACTATGGAAAGTTTTATTGAACAGGAATAACTTATAGCCATTGGGACAGATTAGATTAGGTTTAATATATTTTATTATTATATAATATTATATCTTATAGATTGCAGATATATAAGAAGATCAATATTATTGATAAAAGTGTGATATAAGTATCATATTCTATTATATCCAGGAAATCTATTATCCACAGAGGTTTTGATTATTACCTTAAATTTATTTCACTTAAATATCATATTTCATTTTAAAGTTGCAACAACTTCAGAAATGTTAGGACTTTAAATCGGGGAATTGCATAATTTCAACAGAGTAATTTCATCAATTTCGACATGATGCTGCCGAAAGGTATTAAAAATGGAGCAGATTGTGCATTCAATCAGCGGAGTTCCACAAAGCTACTGGCTCATGCAATCCGGCAGTTGTTGCCCCATATTCAAGTACTCAGGTGGTGCAAAATTGTGCATGTGGGTTGGAGGGATGCCCATCCGCTAGCCACCATCCACCCACTCGATATACCACATTCCAGTGCTCCATAGAGAGCTCTCTTTTTTATGAGCACGTAGAATGGACATACAAAACGAAAGGCAAGTGATTTTTGGATTTATGTAAAGGCACAAAAATAGCCGAGGTCCAAATTGAAAACTATGAATATAGAAAGAGAGTCTAAGCTTTGTATGTCCTTAAGGTTTTTATTATAATAGTTACATATCATCTTTAAATATTAATATTTATATGCTTATTTACAGACACCGAAGGCATTACAACGGTGGCCGTGAAGACACTCAAGGAAAGCGCCACCGAAGTGGATCGCAAGGACCTCTTATCCGAATTGGAGGTAAGCCGATTGGGAAATCACACAATTCTTGTGAATTAGCATTTACAATTTCTTTAAGTCATCCGTAAAGGGTATGCAAAATACCGACAAAATCGTTACATCTAAAAGTTGGCCAAAGTATCTCGCCTGCCTTTTCCTCTGTCACTTTTCATTCAATTGGTTTGCAGTTGCCTTTCCCGCCCAAAAAATAAAAAAAAGAGAAAAAAGAAGGGAAAACATCCTGACAGACTCGCTAACTCGACGACTGAAAACTGGGAACTGAAAACTGGGAGGGCTGCTGCTGGGCAAATCTTGCGAGTTGGTTTTTCTGGTTAGATGAAAAAGTTTTGTAAATTGAAAATTAACGATGCTGAAAAGTTTTGAAAGAATTCCTTTCCTGCTCCTTCGGCGGCTGCAGCAGGATTCCCCTTGAGTTTGGATTTAATGTTTGCCTTTTTAATGAAAGCGTAAAGGAGTCTACTTATGTGTCTCTCCAGGAAGTTTTCAAAATGTTACGAGTGCGTTCTAGGTAAACTCAAGAAAGTCTTTCACTTATTTTTATAATAATTTCTCCTAAGTGGTGGGTAGTTTTCGGGAGAATGCTTCCCTATTTTAGCCCAACTTTTGCCTGATTTCTTGACCACTCTGTGAGTGAAGACTGTAAAAGTCTCCGTCATTAGCAATTGTCAAAAAGTCCATCCTCCATTGGAGAGTTTTCTAATTTAAAGTTTTTCTTTTCCCTCACCCTCCACTCTCCACTTTTCTTGTCCCTTAGTTTACTCTACTTATTGTTTACTAATTAGCTTTGTTTCGTGCACTTTGAACTTCAAAGGACAAAGGTAATCGTGTTAAAAACTTATTTCCCCAATGAAATTTAAAGCCATTTGCCTGGAAACTATGTGAAATGCAATTTGAATATGGGCTAAATGGCAATTCCAATATTGTCGAGTCTTATTGCATATTTATGTTCGCCAAAAATACTGCGACAAAATTATTAATTTATGCCCTTGTAAGTATCCCGGTGTCAGACGTGCATATTTAATGAGCTTACACACATACCATATATATAGTATGTGAGAACTCCGAAAAATCCAGTCGGTTGGGTGGCTTAAAAAACAAAAAGTGCGATGTAAACACATATATTGTGTAAATCAAATTGCGCTGAGCAGCACAATTGTCCGTAATCAGAGGGCTAAAAATATATATGTTCATTCCGTGGGCGAATCAATAAATTTGCATTGCAGTTGCATTGGTGGATGCATTTATGGTCCTTTAATGGCATCAACACTTGCAGTTGCCATTTGCATACTGGCCAGGCTTGACAATCGAAGTGACAATGTATTTATTTAGCACAAGGACTAAATGGATATTTTCCCCCGCCTTTCGAACCAATTATCTTCCCCTAATGATAGTGACACAAGCGAGCTAGGGCCATATTCCATTTTCCGTATCGATTAGCATTCACATACTATACACTTGGTTGCATTATATTACCTATGATTTGGCCGTTGTAGAAAAGTCGATGGCTAGCTAATGAGTTCAGCATTTGGGGGCACTGAGGAGCATTTATTCAAAGCACACACACAAAACAGACATGGCACACAATACACAACACACACAGAACAGAGGAACTGTTTTGACAGCAGTTGCGGGCTGTAAACACGAGGAAAGGACCCGCAGCCTTGCAAAAATACGAGAAAGAAGCGCCTCTACAGGATACCAAATACAATCCGAACTGTGCGCTCCGACGCCTTGAAACAAACTGATTCCTGTTGCTGTTCCTGCCACCAAAAACACAAAAAAAAAAACACTGACAAACCGCAGCATCCTCTCGCCTGGAGGGCAACTATCGTACTTATACCTCTCGGAACCCCGAAACCTTTGAATCCCCCATCTCACCGACCTGCGCACTGGAACTTTCGGAGTTCGAGACCTATTCGGCCTGGCCTTGCCCCCTGTAATCAGAATCTGACTCTGACTCTGGACTATGACTATGAATCTAAAGCTGAAAAGGAAGCTGAATCCAAGGAGCCACTCTAGGGTTGCCCTCGTCGTCGTCGTGTGGGTCGCGTCCTTCATCATTAAAGTCGCATTTGGTTTCGGTCGTCCTGTTCTGTTCCTGCAACGGCAGCATTGTACGGCGACGGCAGTATATCATGTTCTGCGGATTACCATTACCAACCCAGAAACGAGAATAATTGCACTTTAATTTTAGAACAATGAAAAATTATGAATGGCCCTCGGCTAGGTTCCCAGACTCATTCCTCAAGTTTCCCTCGCATTTTGCCTTTTGTAACGGCGGCAGTGGCGTTGGAGACCTGGAAAATTACCGGGCTCGGTTGCTCAAAAGTTTTGGATTTAAATAGTGGGGTGGGAGGATTAGAGGCAGGACCGAGTTATTAACTGCAATGAATTGCGGCTACTTGGGCAGATCTGATGGTCCAATAAATAATAACCGGGTTTCTTAAGATAAAAAGGGCTCATTAGTGGCAGCTATTAAAATAATAATAAGACAATCTCACTCGTTAATTAAATAAACAGCTAGATTACGACATTTATTAACCAAATTATTCTTAATATTTATAGGTAATGAAATCTCTGGAACCCCATATCAACGTGGTTCGTTTGCTGGGCTGCTGCACGGATAAAGATCCCACTTTTGTAATACTGGAGTACGTGAATAGGGGAAAATTGCAAACGTATTTACGCAGCTCCCGCGCCGAAAGGTAGGCAATATATTATTATTTAAAAATAGTTACTATTAACAACCTTATATTGATCTTAGACACTATGGAAATACGCACGGAAAGTCAAATATTCTGACTTCCTGCGACCTAACATCCTTCATGTATCAAGTAGCCAAGGGCATGGACTACTTAACATCTCGAGGGGTATGATATAATATGATATATGATATGATATACTGATAATATCTCCTTTTTTCCAGATTATTCATCGGGATTTGGCTGCTCGCAATATTCTTATAACCGAAGATCACACATGCAAAGTGGCTGACTTTGGATTCGCAAGAGATGTAATTACATCGAAGATTTACGAAAGGAAGAGCGAGGGCAAGCTGCCAATAAGGTAGTTTATAGATTTTTAAAACCACTATGAGCAATAATATTTAATATTTAATATTTTCCAGATGGATGGCAACCGAGTCGCTGTACGACAATATATTCTCCGTTAAATCGGATATCTGGAGCTTCGGCATACTGATGTGGGAAATTGTTACTCTGGGATCTACGCCTTACCCGGGAATTTCTGCAGCAGATGTTATGCGGAAGGTTAGTACAATTTTATAATGGTTAAAAAATAACTAAAAAATGGCTTTTCATAGGTAAGAGATGGCTATCGTTTGGAGAAGCCCGAGCACTGTCGTCGGGAACTATACAATATAATGTATTACTGCTGGTCGCACGATCCCCAAGAGCGTCCTCTGTTCGCGGAAATAATCCAGATGCTGGACAAACTTCTCCACACCGAAATGGATTACATTGAACTGGAGCGCTTTCCCGATCACAACTATTATAATATCGTTAGTCTTAGTGGTGAAAAACTGTAGGGCCGCTTTTCTTATGCACTGAACATGAACCTGAAACCCCATCAGCTTTATTACCTCCAAAAAAGACTATGGGATGGCCCACTAAGATAATAGAGAGAGAGGTTATACTGCCATTACGAATCACACTGTATCTTCCTGGATATCAGATAAGTCTAAATACCAAATGGTTTAGCATTCATGAGAGAATCGTATGCATTAAATTAAAAAGGCAATTGTAATTCCTCTTAAATTGTAAGATAATTGCACCGTTCACGTTTTATTTATTTGATTTGTATTATGTACTTTAATTTATCAACCGTGTATAGAGTTATGAATGTAATTTATATTATTGTTAAACTAAAAATAAAACTCAAAATAAATACCCAAAAATTTGGAAACTTTTCCTTGTGTACCCTAATGCTCAGGACATAACTCAGGCAAATCTTTGACCCATAGTTATTTACGTTAACTGTGATGGAAGGCTGTGACAGACTTTTTGCCGTAGCAAACTTTGCAGCAGCTTTGGCAAACAGAGTACGTGCATAAATGATGCCAATGGCGTCAAAAGCTGGCGTTGCTGATACCTATAAGTCTTACTACGTGACGTGCATTTTAAAATTTTGCATACCCGTATTAAATATATCGATTTCACCACACTGCAGTAGGAAACTATGATGATTTTTTAACTTTTTTAAAGATGCTGAGAAAGCATTTCTGAGATATTTAACGAAATCCCTTTTATTTACACCGAAAGTTATTTGTGAAAAGAAAACGCAACAAGTGGGATGTGCACATTAAAGGGATTATTTGGTTTGGCACTTTGGGCTGAGGAAGTTAATAGGGTTTAAGGAGCTTTACAAAATTGCCTTGCTAAGTACGTAAACTGCGATTGGCAACAAGTTATATTTATCTTTGAATGAGGATTGTATTTATTACCGAGTAAGAACAGCAACAGACTAATTGTGGGTTCGCATGTGTACGGCTTTTATATCCTTTAAGAATTCATCGTACAACACGGCGCATGAGTGCGCTCTTCTGGAGCACGTGTTTATGTTGTTGGTAGCAGAAATAAACTATTGTGGAGCCATATGTCCCCCCATTAAAGAAATATTTGTTGTCATGCTGCGAAAGAGAGAAGAAACGTAAGAATCAGCTGTTTTATATAATCGTAATCGTTTTTTGTAGTTTCATAACAAGAAAGAGACAGTAAAAAAAATATAAGTATAATAATATAGTGAAAGGCCAGGACATATTTTCTAAAATATTTATCCTTCAAAAAGATGTAAAATATTTAAAATGAGAATATTTATGAATACAAAATCTATTTACCATTTTCGTTACTAAGAAAAAGCTTTTTGTACTGAGAGGACATGCGCAGATAAGGATAAGTTAAGAGCTTGAAAGCGCATATGCTCCACATCATATTGGACTCCGAAATTGAAGACTCCAAATAGTCATAATAATAAACCAATTTTGTATAAATTCATATATTAACTTCTTAGTTGCTTTATTTATAATTTTCATTTTGAAAAAAATGTTAAAGTTATGTTGAACAAATAATATTTAGTATAATTTTATAATATAATAATATTATTAAATATACAACAAATCGTGGTAATAGATATTGTTTGAATTAAAGCGCGCTTCTGGCATATATAACTACTTTAACCTAAAGATGAGTCCAATGCCAGCATATGAACCTCTATTGCACAGCCCTTTCACCTTCTTTATAGGATATAAATATTATCGGATTTAAATATAATCATCGTTGTCTGGGCCGCGCAATTTGGTTTCTTCGTTCTCTCGCTCCCACTCGTTCATCTTGGCCTGCATTATCAGATCCTGGAAGGATCCGTACTCAGAATTCTGCCTCGTCTTGGCCGTCAGTCCCACGTCGCCCACGTCGTCGTAGAAATTATCAGAGTCGTAATCGGTATCCCGGGCCATATCCAAATCGGGATAATCGTGCTCCTCGGCGTTCCTGGCAATGCCGTGCTTCAGATAGAACGAGTTCAGCAGGCTCTCGATCTTCCACGATGGCATATCGGAGACCATCTTCACGGCGATCTTGCGGCGCGGCCTTTTGAGTTCCTTTTGGGGCCTATCAGCCAGCTCGAAGTTGAGAGAGGTCTTTAGCATCCGCTTGGAGGCGGTGAGTTTTTTGAGAATAGATCTGTAGAGCCCGAGGAACTGATCGGGTTGTTTTTTGGCCTTGGGCAGAGCTTTTGGGTTCTCCAGAATAAAGCGATTGAGCAGCTCCTTGGTGCCCTGTTGATCCTTTTGCGACTTCAGGAGTTCAACTAAAGAAAAAGAAATTCAAAGTTAATAAATGTTTCAAAGGGTTATAGTATTTATGCAATAACTTACCTTTTTCTTGGCTTAGTCCGAGTGTGTTCTTGAAGACTCCCCAATCGTCCTTGGAGGCAGTCTTAGCAGGATTCTTCTCCACGTTCTTGATGTACATGGCCAGGCAGCTTTGCTGGATGACAGCCAGCAGCAGAATGATAGCTTTTCCCAACTGCATCTTGAATATATATCTTCCTTTAGTTCGATGTGCTTCGTTCGGAGTGTCGAGTGAATGTGATGTCCTTAGCCTCGCAGGACTGCCTCTTATATACTCAGATCCTTTCGCGACTGCTGATCCGCGTTAATTGACATAACCGCACATCAGCGTTGCGTGGCTGCGATAATCAGACAAAGGCTGCACAAGGCGCTTGACACTCGAGACATCCGGGGCGCCTGGGCAAGGACTACGAGGACTACAAGGAGTCAAGACAGGACGACATGTGCGCTTGATTGAACGCCGCGCTGCTCTTTGTTTTTCTAGGGAACACTTAGCGCGAGCCGCGCGGCAATTAAACGGCAAACTGAGTGCAAATACAGAAAAATTAGTGCTTACGCATCTTGCCCCAGACGCCGAAGAATCCAGGTAGCGAGTCCTGGCCGCAGGACGAGGCGACTGCTGATGAGGAGGAATGTGGGAATCAAAGTGCGTAATTGAGTCGCTTAAAAGCGCCAAATGGTTTCGGTTTCATGAATGTACCGATGCCGATGTTATTGCACCAGGTAGACGCTCGCCTTTCAAATGCGAAAGGAAGTACAAATAAATCCTAGCGCCAGCCATAAACGGATCAACTGCGCCGATCGCCCATCGACGATCGCCCATCGCCGATCTCAATCCGCTGCTCTTTCTCCTGGCCGCTCCTGCTCGACAAGTTTTTCGCTAATTATTCCTGAATGCGGGTTTTATTGACGCAATATAAATAATGCAAATGCAATTTGCGGTGCATGCCGACAAGGGGGTTGGTCCTTAAAAAATGTCCCACCACTGCCATCTGCGGATGACAGGCCTCGCGTATCGAATGTCGGACGGCTAATTATGTAATGTTTAGTTATTTATTTATAACTTACTAATTGCAAATACTTGCTAACAGCCAGGTCAATTAGTATAAATAATCCAAACAATTACAATTCCACAAAATGTGCTGTAGAGGGAGATTTATTTTGTATTTTTTATATTTAATAATAATTGAAATTGAAGAAGAAAAGACCTGCTGCTTAAAGCGTTTACGACACCATAACGCAGTGTCGGATCGAGGATTTTGTTGTAAATACCAAAATTCCTTTAATTTTTCACCCCTGTGGGGGTGATATATCACCCATATCACCCCCCGTGGATCCGCGCATGCCATAAAGTATAAATATTCCTGATCAGGATCAGGAATCCCGGATAGTGATTCTAGTTAGTTTCATCACAATGCTTTGCCCACTCAGCAAAGTTTTTTACGCCCACAAATCAAAAAAGTCTGTAGCGGCCACAATTTTGAGGTTGAACTTAAAAAATTAGTTAAACAGACACGTTTCAAAGGCCTTATTACAGAATAACTTTCCTCGTTGCTTTCGTAACTGCTAAGAGCAGTCGGTACTTTAAATGTGAGCTTTGTGCAAACTACGACTAAAAAACCACAAAAAACTCTAGTTTGTATTACTACCCTATTCCTTATATTCGGCTCTAAAAATCAGTTTTGTTGGTTTGAATCTAGGCAGGTTTTTTACCGAAAAAAACAATAGGTACATATTTTGCCCAAAACAATGGAAAAAAATAGAATGTCATACCGCGTTGTGTCCGTAATAAAATTTCCAATTGATTAAAACTCAAACATAAGAACACTATTTGTTTACGATATTTTGCTACAAAAAAATAAAAGATATATTCTTTTAATTTTCCCGAAAGTGATGGGGATTGTTTGCATATGTTATTCCTACACAACAAAATCGGCATTTATGATGGGCACTTATTTTAACAGAATTACCACGAATAAACACAGAAAAAATTCTTGTTGAACATCTACAAAAATGATTATTATTTTTGAATAAGGGCGCCATTCATTCTTCTTCTTCCATTTCCGGTCTGTGTAAAATTTATTTTAGTTCTGTAAATCACCGCTAGGCGCCAAAGATACTGGGCGTTAGCGAAGACGCAAACCGGAAAAGCACAATAACAAAAAGGCTTATAAGAATTTTCCACAAACACAAACCAAGGATAACTTAGTTGGAATTTTAGAAATTTAAAAATTTGTCAGTTTAACGTATGTTTGGATAATATCAAAGGGATATTAGCCACCTAATATTCAAGGGATATCAGCGATCATATATTTTGATCTTAACATTAAATGTATTCAAGATAAATACGATTTTAAATGAAAATATATGTTTCTGATTCACTTGAAATTTCTCCCGACTATGTTATTCCTATTTATTTCTCTAGCAACACTCTTTTCAGTTTCTGTCACATCTGGCCGTATTGAAAAATATATTTTCTACCAACATCGTAGTTATAGAAACGACGCTTCTTGTTTTGTTTATTTTGAATAGCCGGCAATCGTTACCAAGCCAAAATGCCGAAAGTATTATTTCAGAAGTACAAGAAGGTGGTTAGCAACATCGACCCGACGCGTCATAGTGCCAAATTCAAAGAAATCGACGAATGGAGGCGCTCACAAGTTACTGAGTCGGAATTGGCAGATGAAATGGAGGGGGAGTACGAGCCGGAAATGGAGGAAATGAGGGAAAGTGAATTCAGTTTGTCCGAGGGCGAAGCTTCGCTGAATATCGGAAAGATCGATCTATCGTTTCCCGAGACAATCGAGGAGTTTGAGAACAGTCCGCAGTGCTATCCCCCCACATATTATACCCTTTCGCCCAAAGAGCGATTGCTGCTTCTTTATGCTGAGAATTTCCGGAAGCAATTGGTTCTCAGTTATCCAAAGAGACGAGCGATGGTTCTGGCTCTGCCCAATGAATGCAAAGTACAGGTAAAGTAATGTCCTGCCCATATTCTTTGTTACCAGATAATGTCTTGATAAATTGCCCCTCTTAACCGACTTGCAGAAATTCGTTTGCACCACCATCAGGCCAACAGCGTTTATTTACACGCAACTCATTTCAAGCGTTGAGGAAATTGCCAAGTTTGTCGCCGATTTTATTCAGTATGAACCCCTAGAGGATCCAATTAATTTGGTAAGTTTGCCTGCTTTTATTTATGCCAATGTTTTCTCAGTGTTTCTTGCTCTGAAAAACCTAAAAAAGTGTGGAATATAACTAACATATTAATAAATGATTGTTTCTAACTGCTGATAAATTATATTTCGATTAATACCATTTGTGTTATTCTTAATTTTTCAGGTTTTTCATTTTAACGTGGATAGATATTCTTTATACAATTTCAATACATTCGATACTTGTTTCCATTATCGTGAACATTTTTTTTTTTTTAAATGACTTAAAGAGTTTATTATGTTGATCAGCCAATTTAATGGCTATAAAACATAGATTACAAATAGGAACAAATAACGTGAGATCATAACAGGGTGGTGAATAACAAATTTTTATAACCTATACTACAAACTAAGACAACAATTTAACAACGCATTACTGCTTCAGGACTCGTGAGACGTGACGTCCTCTTGTCCAGAGATCGCCGGGATGCCTTCGCTTCAGCCTTCTCCTGTTCGTCGGGTTGGCCAAGGAAGCTGCTAGGTGGTTGGGGTGTCCTGTGAGGCGTTCGTTGTACCGACTCGAGTGCCGGTTAATCTGATCCCTGACCGAGGGCATGTGGAGATCGTTGGCTAGGTCTATGTTTCTGACGTACCACGGCGCATTCGTGATTGTTCGCAGCGCCCTATTTTGGACTCTTTGGACCTTCATGACGTTAGAGTCGGAAGCCATGCCCCAAAGTTGGATGCAGTACGTCATTGAGGGCACCACTATTGCTCTAAACAGCAACACTTTGTTGGCAAGGCTGAGCTTGCTCGTTGATTTGAGCATCCAGTTGAGCTTCCTTAGCTTAGCGCGACATGTAGCTGCAATTTTTGTGGTGTGCTGCTTCCAGGTGAGCCGTTTGTCCAGGATCAGACCCAGGTACTGCGCCTGAGGAGATTGTGGGATGGTGGTGTTAAGGAGCTCAACTGTTGGAAGGATCTGACCTCTCAGGGTGAAGTTGCAGTGTTGAGACTTTCTGCCATTAATTGCAATGTTCCACCTGTTTGTCCACTTGCCGTAGGAGTCAAGAAATTCCTGGGTTATCCTTGATGCTTCAATACGGCAGGTGGAATTTACAAGGAAGGCAGTGTCGTCAGCGTAGGTGGCGAGAAGAGTGTCCGGTACATTGATAGACGGCAGATCGGAGGTGAACAGGGTGTATAAAACGGGGCCCAGGACGCTTCCCTGTGGAACGCCAGCACGAGCAAATCTTATGCTTGACCTTTCCCCTCTTACCTCGACCATGAAGCTACGATCAAGCAGGTAGGATTTGAGGACAAGGAATAGGCCTGTCGGGAGTAGGGTCTTCAACTTATGGAGTAGTCCTTCGTGCCATACACGGTCAAATGCTTCCTTGACGTCGAGGAAAATAGCAGAGCTGTATTGCTTATTCTCAAAAGCATTTAAGATGTGCTGGACAAGTCGATGTGCTTGCTCTGGGGTCCCATGATGATGCCTGAAACCAAACTGGTGGTCGGGAATGGCATCCTGCACGCTTCTTACTCCCAAAATTCTACTTAGAAATATTCTCTCGAATATTTTAGAGAACGTGGGTAGCAAGCTTATCGGTCGATATGACTCGACAAGATTCTCCGGTTTTCCTGGCTTTGGTATCATCGTTATCACAGCACACTTCCATTGAGAGGGGAAGTGGTGTAAACGTAGCATTGAGTTGAAGAGGAGAACAAGGAACAGGATTCCCTTTTTAGGCAGAGCCTTGGCAATTCGGCTGTCTATGCCGTCGAAACCCGGCGCTTTACTGGGATGAAGCTTTTGTATGTGACCGCAGATTTCTTCTGGACTCACATGTAGGATCGGTAATGCTTCCGGAGAAGGAGCATTAAGAAAGGCCAGTGTTTCTTCAACGTCCTCGGGTCTCGCCAGGTCGAATGGCTGAAAACGTTTCTCGAGTTCGTCTGCAAAGGCCAAGGATATTTCGGGGTCGGACTTACACCATGTATCGTCAGCTTTCCTAATGGGGATCGTGAACAAGGAGTTTAATTTATGAGGTAATTATTTGCACCCACCAAGTCTTCCGGTCGTTTTCATATTTTTTAAAACTCTGTTAATTTCGTTTAATTGGTTTATTTGGTTTAATGCTTATTTTCTAATGCCATTATTGGTATTTTTACTAAAAATTTAACTAGGTATAACCTTTTATTTTGACCATGGTTTCTTCTATTTTACTCGAAGCGTTTATGTTTTTTGGATCTGAGATTTGGTTAAAAATTTCATTGCTTGAAGCCCAATCAAATTAAGAGCTCAAGTAGTCATCATTACTTTCCGGCTGATTCCAACAATATTATGACATTTTCTATTTCGTAAAAATATAATTATTTAAATAGAAATTGGTGATTACGCTAATTTTGAAAATTGTAAACTGAAATGGCTAGCCGATTGCCAAAGGATTCCCATGGCTTTAATAGTGATTCCGTGCTCCATTGTTATAAGAACAAAACATCTTTGGCAAACCTTGCTCAACATTAACCAAATGCGCCCCTGTAAAATACCCAAACACCAGAATAAAAACCACAAGAATTCTAAGAGTTTCATAAAAATTATCTAATTATTTTTTATTGAACATGTATTTAAAATTACATTTAAATTTGTAAATGTTTTTTATTTAAATATCGCATTAATTTCGAATTAAGAAAATTCTTTTGAGCACATTTCCAAGTTATTGATATACGAAATTTAAAAACGTTTGATATCAAATGCATGTTAATCGCGCTAACACACCTAGCAGTTCGAAAGGGTTTCTCGTAATTGGTAACAAAAAATAAAGGCTATAACATTTTCGCTAGAATGCATTTGGGGTAGAAAACACAAAACACACGGAACACAGTCGTTTGTTTTTCTTATCCTTTTTCTTATTCCTTTTTCGTTCAAATTGAAATTGTTTAAATTAAATGCATAATAGGCTACAAATAGAGATTCTCGATATATACACTTTAACCGTACGATTAATTAAGACAAATGGAATTGAAAGAGTGAGAGACTGAAAGTATGCTCGATAGGTTTGTCACAGCTAGGAGATAAATTCAGTGGAGTGGAGTGGAGAGTCCTGTCCTCCGGAATGGCGTCTAGTTTTGGTCCAGTCTAGTCTAGTCTAGTCTAGTCTAGTCTAACTGCTGGAGCTCAGTTCGTCGTACTGATGGTACTCGCCGGTGATCTGGCAGTCATCGGGGTCATCGTCGAGGTCACAATGTACAAATTCGTAGGGGGGGAAGAACAGTGAGCTGAGCAGGGTGGCCGAGGATCGGTAGACGGCCGGCGCATACAGGTGGCACCTGGTATCAGGAACACCCAATTCCGATGCTCGATTATTGCTTGGGTAATCCTCAATCGTATCCGTGGCTGGCTCCGTGGGCGCCAACTTTGGCTTTTCCTATTTGCGACGGCGACTCTTGCCCCGGCTGCTGCCCTCCTCCTCCTGGGGATTCTCCTCGCTGTTCTCCTCTGCAGGCAGACTCAAGTTCGTTTCATTCCCTGATTTAATAGCAGCTATCAGGAATCTCAGCTGCATTAATTGCACGGCCGTCACCCGGGGATTGCTGCAGTTCTCCAGCCACTGCAGGAACTTCTCGCCATGCCGAATGGCCTCCACATCCTCATCGTCATCCCTGGTGCAATCCATATACTTGGCTTTCTCCTCCTCGTCCGTTTTATTCGAATTATTATTGTTATTATTATTATTGCTGGCACTGACATCGTTGTTGTTCGTATGCGAATTGTTGGCCTCCTGGAAGCTGCCCTCCGATTCGGATTGATGGTCGGAATTCAGGGGATTGCCGCCCATCTTGAAGAGCATGTTGTCAAGGATATTTTCTGGGTTTTTGATCTTAACTCGCGGCTCGGGACTTCTGCTGCCAGGTGGCGATGGGTGGTTAATGGGACTTTGCGAGGGTGTCATTACCTTGCCGGCAGCTGAGAGATCCTCGGGTTTGCCAGAGGCCTCTGCCTCCGTTTCCGCTTCCCCCTCCGCTTCCCCTTCCAGATCATCGGGTTCATCAGCCTCTTGATTCTGTTCATTCGAGGATAAACTCCTCACCGATGGCGTCTCAGTCTCCTTGGTGAGATGCGAGTACAGGATGTTCGAGGGATCACCGCCTCCGCCTCCTCCTCCCTCGGCAGCCGAGTTAGCCGCCTGCTGTTGCAACTGATTGGCCTGCAGGGCGGCCAAGGTGGCGGCATTGGGATTCAGGGTATGCAGACTGGCCCCGAAGGCCTTGCACCAGTTGTACCACGCCGCATTCTTCTCGTCCAGACTTCCCGATGGCGTGGACGAGGGTGTCAGCGGTGCCGAGGGAATCGGCGGCGTCTGCTGACTCATGTGCTGCTGCTGCGGAGTGGAGGAGCGTATCGGAGGACTGGTCACGCCCATGGGTATTGTGGGGGGATACAGTGGATTCAGACCGAGCATTGTTTGCTGGGATTTTAGCCAGTAGAGCAAGGGATCTTCGGCCAGATTGGAGAGCGTCATGGGGCCACCAACCATTTGCGGGGGATGCGAGGGAGCCAGCGAGGGACTGGGACTCTTGATATCACCACCCTGACCTCCTCCACCCTTCGCTGCCTCATTCTTGATGCTCAGATTTAGGCTTTCTCCTCCCGGCTGCTTTTGCTTGGCCCAGTTCTTCACCGACAGCCCCTGCGTCGCACCATTGTCGCTCCTGGGACTCTGGCCACTGGGCTTCGCTATCCTCAGGTTACTAGCATTGCCACCCGGGAAACTCTGCAAACCCGACATGGCAGCCAATCCTGGATTAAGTTGAGCCAGCAGATTGAGGTTTGTGGTCAGCTCGTTGAAACTGATCGCCAGCGGGGATTGCGATATGCCCGTGAGACCCGACAGGTGGGTCAAACTGGAGAGCGGACTGATGGCATTCAGGGAGGGATCGGCGGCACCGGCTTGTCTATTAATATCCGCCCCAAAGACCTTGGCCTTGACCCCCCCATTAAACGCCGCATAGTCGACGGGCAGGCCATTGTAGCCAAGATCGGCCAGATTCTTGTTTGTACTGTAATCCAGGCCGTTTAGCGGTGATCGCTTGAAGGCCAGCTCATCGAACTTGAGTTTGTTGGAGAAGTTCAGGGGCAGGGCGGCCTCCAAACGCTGTCGCTTCTCCGGGGGACCCAGGAGGCCACCTCCAGGTCCACCTCCTCCATCTAACTTATCACCCAAGGAGTCGGCGCAAAGGTTATCCGTTGTCGATTGCCGCGACATAAAGCGCAGCTTGTCCTCATTTTTGCACCAGCCGCGCAGCGTCGACTCCGGCACACCGATATCCCTGGCCACCGAGGCCTTGGACTCGCCATCGTGGATCCGCTGGATGGCATGGATCTTGTCGCGGGGCGTCAAACTCCTCAGAGGCCGCTTGCCCTTGGTGCCCATGCGGATGTTCATGTGGGGGTAGCTGGAAATATCCAACTTGAGGCCGTTGTCGAACAGTTTGGCGACTGGAAAGGAAGGGAGAAGAGAGAAGAACAGGTTCTTAATTAATTACCGTGACACAGTTGGCATATCGGCGTGCCGATGCGTTCCCATTCGCCAGTTTTCAAGCACATAGCGAATATATATGTACTTCAACGAACAGCGAATGCCGTGTGCGCGCGTTTATGTACCGAAAGGGAAAAAGGGGTTGGGGGTTTTTGAAAACAGAAAGGGGGTTGGGGGCTGCTCTTTCGCATGTTCGCCGCTTGTTGCCTCCAATAAAATCGCCGCGCGCTTTAAAGTTTTACAGACAAGTCGCGGTGTAAATAAACCGCACAACCGGGCGTATGCGCTATATTGCGTATACGTAGAGGTGGCTCGTATATACATAGGTATGCCTTACAGGATGACAAAATTTGCTCTCTCTATGCTCTTCTTGCAGGCAAATGAGCTGCGTCACGCCCCTTGCCTCTTTTTCCATTTCGCTCGGCGCACGAAGGATGCCAAATTTGCAAAAAGGACTCGCAGCGGGTGTATATGTCGTAGTGGTGTGTATACTGGGGAGACAATGGAATATGCTAATTGGTGCGTTGCCTTCGCGCCGCGACGCGCCTGCTCCAAAATGCAGCGCGCAACGCGAGGCAACAAGAACAAGAGCCAAAGCCATTCGTCGGCCGAACTTTGCCGACTTTGCCGACTCTGCTGAGTTGCCGAGCTGCCCCGCAAATTTATAACTTGTTTACCTGTTTCGGCGCTGCAGCACAGCACAGAACATCCCCCAAGGTTTTGGGGGATACCGAGGGATATCCATGCCAATGCCAACGCACGCCTGTTGCGTCTCCAGACTCTTTCCTTCTTCAGACCCAAAAAACTAAACTGTATCTAAAGGAAAGAAGCAGGTGCAGCAGCAGCAGCAGCAGTCTCAAGTCTTTTTTCAAGACCTGAAAGACCTGAGCGAGCAACAATATGCTCCGCCTCCATCTCTTCAGAAAGTGAGGCATGCAAAAGAGCTCGCCCCTCATTCCATGGTGCAATTTTAAAATGAAAAACACGTTTTGCGCATGACTGACACATGATTTCTTTCCCTGCAGATATACATATATATATATATCTGGTTATATCTATATAGCATTCAAATATACAGGAATAGTCTCGATGTGTGTGTGGCAGAGAGAACTCGTTGAGAAAGAGAAACTGTTCCGAGTTAAGAGAGACCATTTAGACAAACTGGCGGAGTCTTTCGTTTGGCCATCCATCGCAATGCTGTTTACAAAACGCAAAGCGTTTCTTGGCCTTTGGAAATGGAGTTTACACGTTGCCAGCTATTAACTGGAGCTCCCTGAATCACTGTACTTATCTCCTTAAGTCGGCTACTTGAGCAAACATAAGCTCATGATTCGGAATAAGCAGTTGGTGGAAGCTAAGATTTCTTACACAATGCATCGCAATGCCAAATATTTAAGCTGGCTAGTGTTATAAAGGGGAAAAGTTATAACTGTTATCATATTTCCGTTAACTATAGGGAAAATTTGATTGTTTTTTCACATTTCTTAATATTATAGAGATATTTTAATATTTATTCCAGATTATTAAACTGGGACTAAGACCATTTACTTAGTATTCTATGACACTGCATAAAGAATTAATAAATATTTAACACAATTTAATTATGTTTAAGTCAAACTGGAATTAAATAGATATTAATTACGAATTTTAGTGCCAGATCTGTAGTATTGAAGTCTAGAATTTAGGTTTATTTAATTATGTTAAGGCTATAATATACTATTAATAAGTCAGGATTTTGGACCTGAATTTATTTTAATTATGATTTTTAAATCCATAAAAAAAGTGGTTTTCAATAAGATAAATATTTTCTTATTCACAATGTTAATATATGAGGATCTAATCGAATGAATAATTAATATGTAAATACTACAAATTCAGTCATACTAGTCCTATTACAATGTGATTAGAATAACTTTCATTAATAAGCTCTTGACTGATCGCCTCCATTGAGAAGCTCTACGGCTATTTACCCCTCGACACCTGGTTGAACATGCGGTTTAATGCATACTTGTGCAGGTGGTTACCCCCCCGAACTCCATAAGGCAGACACACACTGGTAGGTAGGTGTAGGTTCATAATAACTGTGTCGACTCCACACCTAAACACCCAAGCATCCCAACACACCCCCCTCAATCCAGTGAATCAGATCCACCGACCTGCCAACAAACGACCTGCACCCAAACACATATCGAATAAAACTTTTACAGCTGTATAAAAATTACAAGGTCTTTGGCCATTCAGCATTGGGAGTTGGGATGGGGATGGAGATGGGGTAGGGCAGAAGGAAAAGAATTTTTACTTTCGCTTTCGACCGGGCTACGTAGTCCTCAGTCGGTAGAAGTCCGTCCTTGTCCTAGCCGGCTCGCCATTAAACTTTTCACGAACCGAACTGGGACAGTGAGAAGTGTGTAAAAAATCTAGTAACAACAGAAAAAGATGAAAGAAATAAATATAAAAGAATTACACCAAGTTTGTCAGTGTGTGTGTGGGGAGGTCTGTCTGTGTCTGGTGCTGCTGCTGCTGTGCACACACATGCACACTTACACAAACACACACCTATCCAACGACAGGACATTCATATGTATGCCGGAATGACCATACTCGTCTGTATGTCTGTAATGGCCAACCGTCTGGCCATTCGACTGTTTGTGTGAGCTCCTCAGTGTGTGTGTGGGTTAAGAGCTTCTGATTTTCCTATATACAATTATAATTTTATTGTATTTACTATTTTTTCGTTTCTTTTGGCTTCGTATTGAACTCACTCACAGACACACAGGGGCAAATGCATGTGGCAAGGACACCAAGGAGGTTCGAATGGGGGGTTCTCCGAGGAGGGGTATAAGGGGGGTTCCAGGAAAGTCTGGCAAATGGAGGTCAACGACTGAAACTAGTACTAATATGTGCAAGCGTTTGATAGCTCCATTCGGTTGTGCTAATGCAAAAAGAAATAAAACACACAAAAAAGAGGCAACAAATAAAAATAAGAATTCCGTAGATAAAAGAAAAAGTTGCTTTGGTCGGAATCTGAACCCAATTGTGTTTGTTTTCGTGTGTGTGTGTTATGTGTGTGACTGTCTGGGGTGTTCCTCACACCGCAGTTATGTGTGGGCAAATAAACCATGTGTCTGCTGTAATTTCGGACCTGTTGGAACCAATGATCTATGTGGCTTTAAGCACTATTGCACCTTTTTATTGTGTGCTTTCCTTTATGATTATCCCGATTAATGTTATGCAGGATTATGGCAATCAAACACTTATAATCGTTTATCAATTCGTTGTGGGGAACTTAATACTTTTTTGGGAATCGCAATTAAGAAAAGGCTATTTGTATATATGGAAAATTAGGGCATAATCTGTGCATATGTTTTAAAAGTTCTCTGTCAACAATCTTTAAAATTAATTATTTTAAAAACGTAAATGCAAATTGTGGGATTTCTTTGTAAACATTTAAAAATTATTTAAACTTTTAAATGTTTTAGGTCCGTTTTCTTGTCTGCATGTTAAACTTAAAACATACTTTTAGTTTAACAAGCAGACAAAAAAATAATAAATCAAATAACTATTATTTAAACAAAAACACAAAAATACAACAAGGTTGTCTTCAACGTAATATTCGACATAAAACTTTGGTTGTATTTCCCGTGCACTGTTTATAACAGGTTCAGCTTCAGAGTCAGGCTCAGTACCTACTCAAAAAGCCGTTCAAAACCAAACCTTCCAAATATCCAAATTAAAATTTTTGTAAGGGTATTTCTTATGAAGTTTTTTGTTTTAGTCGGCTTTTTGGTAGGTTGAATGCTTGGACTTATTTAAAAATGAATTTTCATATTTTCTAAAGGAGTTTTTCATAAATTTCTATGATGTAATAACATTAATATGTAAAAAAATGTTTTTTTACATTATAATGTGTAAGAACCTATATTTCCATAAGTGCCAGCAAAGCAATACTAATAAACTAAGTGGAAATATAACTATACTCTGGCAAAATCTGAAAAGATATGATTTCTTGGCCGCAAAGTAAAGAAAATGTAAATTTCATTGCATACTTCCTGGCGATGAACAACGCGATTACGTCCTTATTCACTGTAAATGGCAGAATACTGGTGTTTTTCAAAAAGCATTCCAAATATTTTGTGTTAGATTTATATAATTGTAAACTTTTTTGAAATCACAGCGACTGATGAAAACAAGGACTTTCGGATCGGAATAATAAACGCAACGCCTTATAAAATTTAAGAAATATGTTGCATATATCAAGGCGCTCGTTTGATTGGCTATTAAAACTAGTTATTGTTCGATTCAGTGTTTTGATGTTAACTATGTTGATTTAAATACAATAATTATTAAAAAATATTTATTTCAATTTTTTTACCTAAATATAATATATTTTGAAAAAACCCAATTATATACAGCTTTTTTATGAATAAATAGATAAACATATTTTAGAACGCAGCGATAATATTTTTAGTCAGTTACTATAATTCAGTTACTTTATAAAGCTAAAGCTGACAATACTCTTGGGAACATCAATTTGTCTTTTTTTGGTAAATCTAAAAATATTTAATATTGGGAGGTTTATTATTTACATATTGAAATATGCTCTTCTGGTTTATGTTGCGTTTTTCAACGATTTTTCATTTCTTTGTTATATTATTAATATGTGTCTCCAAACCCAAAAATTCTTTCAGTTTAAAAGTATATTTCTGAAACTAAGCTTTTAAAATTCACCATCATAAATTTTTGTATACAACTTTTTTAAAACCTGTTTCCTATTCTTTTGAATAACTTCCTATGTCGTGTCAGCAATTAATCAAATCCTTTTATAATCCTTAAAATACTCTCCATACCACTCCATAATTAAATAATTTTTGAAACACTTTATTGCTTAATTCACTTGATAAGACAAATACTAACCTTTTAAGTAAACTTCCGGGGCGAAAAGTGATCGGTGCCTTCTTCCAGCGAAGGCGGGATAAAAGCGGCACAAGCTAAATGAGTGCCTCCTTAGCACACCTATTTGTTATTGTTTTTATTTCTCGTCCAGCGATATTTGTAATTCACGTTATATGTTTATAGTTCACATGGATAGTGGGTAATGTTATTGTTTCGTGATGGTAATATTAATTCAGGACCAAACACAATCAAACACTGTTTCGCGATGCGATTATTTAGCGCTGCGGCGTGCGAATTTCAGCGGTGACATGACATTCAGGACACTCGAAAGGACATGCGGTGCGGTGCCGGTGCGATTGCGAATGCGACCTCTCTCTCGCGCTCGTCGAAGGATATTGTGATATTGTGTGACGTGGATATGTGGATATGCGAACCTGAGCGGCTAGCGTGCGGCGACAAACTACCGCGGCGGACTTGAGTGAATTTTGATTTTAGCGCGGCGAATTTCCGCACGGCGACGACGACGGCGCGGCGGCGGCGACGTCACGGGAAATTTAAAGTCGCACGTCCACGAAATGCGGCGTTTCGTTCTCACTCACACACACGGCCGATATATTTAGTGGTGGCTGTGTGCTGGTCAGTTTGTCTTGGTAGTTGTGTTGTAGTTGTCGTTTTTGTTTCTTTTACGTGTGTCGCTCACGTAGGTGTGCGTAAGTCGCTCTCACTCTCTCTCTCACTCCCTCTCTTACTCGGTATGCCCTCTCTCTGTCGCACACACTCTTTCTCCGCTCTCTCTTTCTCTAGCGAATTTCGCGGCCTTTTTCGGTGACAGCCAAATGTACAATGATTAATAACGGCCAAGACGGCGACGGCGGAGAAGAAGTCCTCTCGCTTCGGCTTCCCCGCTCGCTTTGCTTTTGGCCTCTTCGCATTTTCGCAATTTTCGCATTTTGCCATTTTGGCCGGCCCAACCACAGGCCACTGTCCACTCACACACACACACACAGGACACAGGATACGCACACCCTCGCAATCAAACTCACACACACACACTCACACCGTTGTGTGCAACGAAGACGACGCAATACTCGTGCTAGGCTTTTTGAGATTGAGAGACGCACATCCTTTTCGGCCTCCTTTCTTGCGCCCACGTGTGTGTGTGAGTTCACTTGGAGAAAAAAAGTCCTTGAAAACTAGAAAGTTAAAAAAAAAATTTGCAAATTGAAAAGAAAAGCAGTGTTAAAGAACCCGAATCTTTTAAGTAATAAAGATGAAATTAAAATCAAATGGTCTTTAAACGTAATACCCTTAAAAATAAAGTCTTAAAATTTTAAAATGATTTAAAATAAAAAAAAAAAAAATTGTTTAACATATTATTTTAAGCTCAATAAGGTTAAATGAAAACCATTTCCTATAAAACATATTTTTTTTAAGTTATAAACATTTAATATCTTTTATGAAAGCTCAAAAAAATATGACCAATAAACTTGACTAACGCAAATCATTTTTCCTTGACTTCACAAACTATTTGTAAAGCCTTTCATTTCTCTCAGTGTAAGAGTTTGTGTAACCTCAGGAGGTATTTGCTTGCGTTTAGCTAAGCCATATTCCGCTTCCTTAAATGCCAGAGAACAGCCGAAAAATAAGGATCTCCGTGGAGAACGTGAAAAACCTATGGCCGAAGTCCTTGTCTAATTTTCGCAATGGGGGGTTCCATTTTATCGCCGCTGATTCTGATAATTCTGTTAGTTTTCCCGCTGTCATGTGCTGCAGTTGTTGCTGTTGTTATTGTGGCCAGTTTTCCTCGCTTTGTTTTGATACATGCCTTCATCGCAGATTACGTGGGCTCGCCTCTCTTTCGCGCCCGTTAACAAAGAGTCCCATTTCAGAGTCCCGAGAGCCGAAAGAGCCGCTTCCTTAAGAGAGAGAGACAGAGAGAGTGAGTAAAAAGAGTGGACAGCTGGGCAGCTTTCGTATTCGGCTTCTTGCCGCCCGAACGAAGTTTTGGCGGCAGGAGGTGGTGACCCCAAGGGGAATCCCACCCCCCTGGGAAACCCCCTTTCTGAAAAACAAGGCGAATCCGTCCCACAGAGCGGCTTTCTTCGCTCTTTTCGCTCGAGCATGACGGGCGATCGCCGAAGGAACCGGAATTCTTGAAATGGTCTCTCGATCGGAACACTAAAGACCAGAGATATATGCAAATATAGTGGTGGTTTTTTAATCGGCTTCTTCGGGCAAATTGTTGTGGCTTTCAAACGTCAGTTGGCGAAATAATTAAATGCATGTATCAACTTCTATAAATTTGCAATAAATATGGTATTTGGGTCATATAAAATTTATAAATTCGTCTCTACTTAATACGCAAACGAGAATAAATACAAGTATAAATAAATCACCACAGAAAGAATATCTTTTAAAGAACAATTGCTCAAGGATTAAAATTTGGCACAATATTAATAAATAAATGGACACAATTAAAAATGTATCTTAAAAATAATAAAATTAAATATATATTAAACCAATTTGACTCGAAGGCGTTAAGCTCATATACGGGGTGACAAAAAATGCAAAGGGAATTTCACACTAAATGATTTCTCTGTCACCCCTAATAATGCTAAATGTGAAAGGCAAAAAATAATTATAGAGGGGGTAGTAAATTCAAAGATTAATAGAACAATTTTAAGTTCCCCGGTCTTCAACAAAACATATATTTTATTATTGTCTTGAATACGTAGATGTCCTTACAAGCAATCTTTCAGTTATCATTTAGGGTCCAGCACGAAAGTGTATTTTGATTAGTTGAAAGAGATGAAAATCCTGACAAGTATTTGCACCATCTTTGGGATATCCCAGAGATTACGATCTTATATAATGTGTGTACACGCATAGGCATTTTTGAGGTCGTAGACTTTGTAGTTGCTACACTCATAAAAATAATTTTCTACATTTTAGAAAATCGCCCTAAAAAATTTTTCGCCTTTGAACTGAGAAAAATTTTCTATTTTTACGACAAATTTGCCATAAATTTAAGGCAGGTGACCATAAATAAATATTTTTAGGGTTAATTTTTCTATTTTTCTAATATTTAGGGCGAGTTTTTTTCGATTTGCTTCGTTTTGACCTTTTCTAAATCCAACGGCGAATTGCCCTAATTTTTTTTCTAAAATTTTTCTAAATACAAGGGCGGTTTGCCTTGAAAATCACTCCAAAAGTGTGAAATTCGGTAGCCCAGCGGTCTAATCACTTGCGCTTTCAACTTTGCTATATGAGGACTAAGGTCGTGGGGTTGTGGGTTCGAACCCTGTGTGATTCAACTTGATTTTTATGTTTTTTTTTTTTTGTAAACATTATAATACTGAGGACATTTTTTCGTCCGAATTTTAAATTAAAGTAGTCTTTAAACCTTAAAAACGTATGGGAGTTCTGAGTTAAAAGCATACTTTGTGTTTGCGGGCAAGAAAACGGGACTAATTGTCACAGTCGTCAGAAAAAAAAATATACGGTTTAGTTGCCTTTAGTCATATTATAACGTAGACCTCAAGAAAATAAGATGTGTGCAGAGTTTGTTCGTCGTCTTGCGCGAGGGGTCTGTGGTGCAGCGGTAGGACGTTAGACTCTAAACCGAGAGGTCGTGGGTTCGATTCTCGCAATGACCAAAAAAAGTAAGTTGTTTTTTCTCCTCATATTCATTTCCCTAATTCATTTACAAACATGATTTTTCAGTTTTAACGGCTGTGCTGTATAGATCGGGCCCCCCTCTTAACGCGGCTCCCATATAAGCTACACACCAATACAATAATATGAAACGGTGTCCTCCGCCGGTGTTGTTTAATTAAAGCAGTCCCAGTTCCCAGAATATAGACGATTAAAAAAAAAACATGCTTCCCAAATTCAGTTAAGCATGCTCAAACACGATTTTTTTTAATTTGTCTAATTTTTTAGGGCATTCGCCTATAAAAACAGAAAATTCGCCCTTAATTTTAGAAAAATACACCTTAAAATTAGGGCAAATCACCCTAAAAACAGGAAAATATTTCTTATTTCAAGAAAAATCACCCTAAATTAAACCAAATTTCCATCGGGATTTTTTAGAAAATTTTTCTAAATACACGGGCGAATCGCCAGCGGATACGATTTATGGGCGATTTTCTAAATCCACGGGCGAAAAGTCAGTTTTTTAGGGCGATTTAGGGTAAAAATTTCTATGAGTGTATGCAAAACATTTGCGCAGAGAGGACTCACACACACACAGCCGTACATATCCCTATTTCCCTATTGTATTTGTATATCTGGCCAAAACGGAGGCGGAGGCCACTGACCATAATAACAACAACAACAACAAATGGCAACGAAAAAGACAGCAGCAGTGTCGCCAGAGTTGCTAGTTGCTGCCTTTCGGGAAATCGCTAAGAAAGGTTTTTGAATCCATGTCCGAAACGCACAAGCATAAGCACACGCACACGAACATGGATAAAGTACATATAAGCAGAGGCGTATACACAACAAGGAGCAACAATAACGCAGGACTACGGAATACAGGACTACGGACCACGGACCACGGACTACGGACTTCGGACTACAGATGGCCGGCATGGGGCCGCATTGGCAAGAAACATATCCTTGCCACTAAAAAGCCAAGCAGCCTGCCCGGGTCGCTTCATTTCGTCACACACACACAAACACACGCACAGGCAGGACACTCACACACACATACACACACTGAAGCAGTTTGGCAACACGCTACCCACACAGACGGACATTCTTCTTAGCATCCGCAGGCACATCAGCATCTTTAGCGTAAATTTTGCTGCTGCGAAAATTTAGAGTTGTTGCTTTATGCCAATGTGCGTACTGCTGTGTGTGCGATTGTGTGTGTGTTTTTGGGTATATATACTTCAGATTTTCATCGGCCAACCTAAAAACCCCCCCACACCCCCCAACCACCGAATCCAAGCCAACCCGTCCAACCAACCGACCGATTGTCCATTGTGTCCACCAAGGCAACATTTTCCATTTTCGTTCGTCCTCTCTTTGGCCGCCGCCGGACTTTCTCTCATATCTGCAGCTCCTTGCCTTACCGCCTTCGTCCTGGCCACCCAGCCACCCAACCACCCCCTTCAGATGGTCAAAACCCCCTTTTTCGGGATGTGTTTTGTATGTGAGATGCCTTAATGTCGCTGCGTGTGTGTGTACAATTACGAATTCGTCGTCCTCGACCAAACTCAATTCACTTTCTCCCCAACTCTGGGCGAAACCCGCGTCGTTGTCACCGTCGTCGTCCTGCGATGTCCTTTCACCCCCCTCCTGTCCACCACCCCCCTCTCCATACTCCAACCCCTCATGTCACACCTCTGGATGGCGAAGGAAATTTTCGCGTGAATTGAAAGATGAAGGCGCACTGGGCTCTGGACTCTGGACGCTGGTCACCCCCGATTGTTGGCTATATGCACACGCATAGAGGTCCTTGTTTATTTCACTGTGTGTGTACATATCCTCGAAGACGACGACGTGTGTGCGTGCGCTTGATTTTCAGCACCCATCTCATCTACCAACGCCCACTAGTAGCCCAGGGAATCTGCATCCTCTCACAACACATTGTCTTTGTATAACTGTTCCTAAAACAAAATTTTCAGTTTGCCTTCAAAAAGATGAATGTGTGTACACGGGTCTTATATGTGAGGTTGTTCTTACTGAATCTATGTGTGCGTTTCTGGATATATCCTTGGATGCGTACTTGCCTGCACCTTGCCTTAAACTCGATTTGTCCCTGCCCATTTCAATCAACTAATCGATCATTTATTTTGATTTCGATCACTATCAGTTCGGTTTTGGTTTTCAATTCGAAACCAGTTTGAGTCTGAAGTGACATTGATGGTTATGAAAGATTATCAAAAAATATACTTCACCTGGAATTGGTATTAGAAGAGTTTTCTAATACTTCAAAAATATTATTTCCCTTGTTTTAGGGTTTTTATAAAAATTTTTGATATTATATGGTATGCTTCTGGGGGTCCTTTGACATTTGCATATCTAAATATTAAATCAAATAGAAATTAAAAAGGTTTATGGAGCATTCCAAATTATATCATATTAATTCAGAAAGTATCCTATAAAGTTTACATGAAAACTATTTTATAGCCATAAAAGAAGAGGTTCCCTTTTCCATCCACCTGATTTCGCGTCTTATAGTATAGATATATATTTTTGCAATGGTCAGGCCGAACATCGTCGCTGGGAGACATTCTAATCCGTTGTCCGCAATCGTGCTGACCTGGGCGGTCCTCGGAGGTCCTGGAAGATGCCCGCACTCGCATGTCCTTGCTACCTAGCATCACCCCGCCTCCTTGGCCATTATCTGCAGTTTTGTCTAAGCTAAGGCGATTTGAGCAGACAAAACCGCAGCTCTCGCAAGTTGTTTGGACCCAGTTCGTCCTGCGTTCTTCGTTCCGTTCCCTTCCTTGCCTGCAATCGTGTGGCATTCTATTCTATTTCGTCCTGGCTGCTGGCTGCTGCTCCTATGTTCCTATGATTTGCATATTCGAGCTCTCGTAGCTCCTTTGTTTTAATGCGCCTCCACCCCTTTTGGTCCTGCGAGTCCTGGCTCTTTGTCAGCAGCATTTACCTGATATAGAGAGTGAGTGTGCGAGTGTGAGTGTGTGCGTGTGTGGCACTGGTCTTTGGCCAGGATGCCGCGTAAGAAGAAGGCAAACGGCCTGGCTGGAGCTGGAATTTGTCCTTCCAATCTAAGCCAAATGCAGGCCGTCGTCCGCTCGCCTTGGTCTCCATCTCTCCAAGCAGGGAAATTGAAACAATTGAAGAGGCAGTCCAGCAGTCCGGCAGCCCAGGACAACCAGACGCAGCATTTTCGACCATCAACTACTGGCCACTTACGGACTCGCCTCCTTTACCACCACATCGCATCCTCGAATGTCCTGCTGCTGCGGAAACGAAAGAGAGAGAGAGAAGCAGAGCTTTAGCCTTTACTGGCAAGTGCGAGCGAGATGTCCTTTTTGGCCAGGGCAACTCTAGCAACCGGCAGACGAATCCTTTTCAAAATTAAACTATATGCAGCAAGTGGAAGAGCAAGGCAAGAAATCCTGCCACACACACACACACACTATTGCACCCAGCTTTCGTATCCTGGTCGGAGAATCAGTCGAGTGCGAGCCACATGCAAATAGCAAATAGCGCAGACACATGCACTTTTTCTCGTATCCTTGGTCCTTGTCCGCATCTTATGTATTCGGCAGAGCTTTGTTAAGATATTCTTTGCACCTAAGATGGACGACGTTAGATACGTTGGATGCGAAGGATACGTTGGATACGGGCGGTAGCTAGCCAGCTTGCAGCTTATATACAGGTTCAATCAGTTGCTAATTGCTATAGGTCCGAAAACAGTCATGTGCAGCACACACACACATGCACACGCCACTATTTGTTTATACTCATATGCTGCTAGGATATATAAATGAAGGCACACATACGTACATTTGCTTATGCGGCGAAAAATATGTAAGTGCAGTGGCTGCATATTCAAGTGGTCAAACATCGCGCCAGATTAGTTATTTCTGCGAATTTAGAGGTCTTAATAAAAATAGTAGAGCTTATAACCAGAATAGATCTGTTATATATCCCAGAGATCATAACGTTTGACCTTAAAATTCGATTTCACTTCCACACTCTCTGGCGCAAAATAATCACACAATTTGTTTGGCACAGTTTTTTCTTTTCCTCCTTTCTTGTCTGCATTCTTTTTCTTGTTTTTAAACAAAAAAGGGATAACACACAAGAGGCGAAGAGAAAAAGTTTGTCTGAGTTTTTGCCGTTTTCTTCTCCTTTGTATGTTGCAAAAAGTAATTATTTTCATTTTATTTTTATGTGCCAGTCTAGCCGGTTTACTTACTTTTCCTCCTCGTATCAATGGCAAAAAGGGGATAAGTGGGTGCTTAAAAAAAAAATTATGTCACTAACTTTCTTACTTTCATTATGCAATTTGATATGCATAGGCTGTATGTTAACAACTCTTAAATTTAATTAAGTTGATTTGGAATAGTTTATCTTTAGTTAGTAAGTTAGATAACGTTGATTACACCTTGAAATAAATACTCAATCGGCCTGACTAGCGAAATAAAAGCAAGGCAAGCAAATCAATTCTTACACCCATGTAAACTAGCATTTCCTCACCGCGTTTATGAATATCCATTCGTTAGAACTCACGCCACCACTTCAAATAGGCTTCCTTTTGCGCCTTTTCTCATACGTGTTCGACATTCCCTGCACTGCAGCATAAAAAGTAAAAAAGAAGGAGTACTTTCGGTGGGGAGTGCTCAACTAACAGATACCCAGTACCAAGTATTTGTCCAAAAAACTCTTAAATTTATAAAAAAAAACAATCAATGAATGTCAAATAAATGTGAGAACGAATAGATAAATACACTTTTTACTTACGGTGGGAAGTGCTTAACTAACAGATACCCAGTACCAAGTATTTGTATAAGAAAAATCTCAAATTAAAAAATTAAAAAATTCAATAAATCATTGATAAATATATGAATGAACATATAAATACACAATTTCTAAAATAACTCTTATACCGTCTATAAAATGGATAAACCCCTTACAGCAAGTGCCAAGGGGTACAGAAGCCACAATGCGGTTAAATGATGGCGATATGCGCTGACGCTGTAAACTCAAGAGTAATGTCCTTTGCCATTCACTCGTCGCTAAGAAATACGAGAGCCTGCAAACGCAAAAGGATGCGACGGCGACGAAAAGCGATAAAACGCGATTTTATGCACGTGTTGAGTGGCTGCCAAAAAGGGATCCATATGCCACATACTATTCTCATGCCTAATGAATGTGCAGATAGGCTAGAAGAGTATATAGGAACGACTAAAATTATGAAGCTTTGAGATATTTTAAAATTAAGTAACATTTTTAAAATACGTTTTTTTGTTACTTGAAATATATGGCCATATATGTATCTTAGTTCATAAGTAAGGTGTTAAGACTAACAACCAGCTAGAAAATTAGTTTTTTAAAGATTAATTTCTGGGAATAACTGTTTTTTGTAATTCTAAAATTAATAAAAAATATGGGCATCTATTTTAGTTGATAAAAAAAGAAGGGATGTATAAAGTTCTCAGACATTTATGTCACGTAAGAGAAGCTTACAAAAATAGGAAAAAAATAAATGGACATTGCATTAACCAAACTGTGGACAACAGATGTCTAGGGTTGGTCCCCTGATATTACAAGTCAGGAAATAGAGGCGTAACATGCTCGATGAAGTGCACATGTCAATAAAATTCCCACAGTACATTAATAATAAAATAATATCTAGGCCAAAACGATTATAGCTTCAAATATTCGCTGCCGGAAATGAAAAAGAGACTTTTGATCTTGTAATATTTCGCTGCACTCGAAGTTAAAGCAAGCTTTCATCTTTTGTCGATTTTAGCACGGGGTTACAAATAAATTTCGGTGCGAAGTGAGGGCAGACCATTCCAAGTCGTTTGGCGAAACCAAATACGATACGGCGCGATGCTCCTTTCCTTTCCATTCCTTTCCTTGCCTTTCCTCGAGGGGATGAAAACGCTGTCGCTTCCGGTTGAGTGCACAGAGTCGCGGAGTTCCAACCTTCCAGCGATGTAGAATAGCGTGTCGTGTTGCTTGGTCAGTTTTGCAATTGCGAACCTTGTCGTCTTTCGACTTCAATGACAAAAACCAGCAGTGACGGTGTTTTTAGCAAAAATAAGAGGGTAGGGCGATTATCGTAACTGCGACGACAGAATACCCTTTAATATTAAGGAATGTGTTAGGGATTATATGTTAGAAAACTTATATAACTTTAATATTTTATTCATTAAAATTGGGTAATGAAAATGTATTTTCAAATTATGCTATTTTATTAACGGTACCTATTTTACAAATTAAATAGTTGTGTAGTTTTTTGAAAATTAATCAAAAATGTTAGGAAATTTTAATGTAAGAAGTATTATAGTATTTTAAAATTCAATGTTGGTATTTTAAAAATAACCATTGGTATTCAAACGCATTAATTTCAGAACAAATTTTCTTAAAATAATTTAAGAAAAAAAAGAAAAAGGCGACATAAAAAAACTAACAATGCGGCAACATATCTTCTAGATACTCGTCTTTCGCCATTCCCCGCCGACTATGCGCATATCGATTTCCTTCGGCTCGAGAGCAATTCACTCGAGATCGGGCCAAGTGCCACAGGCAAAAACCCAGCCAAAAGGAGGGTCCCCGGCCCCAAACTGCGAACTGCAGTCCCTAACTCATTTCCCTGGCTCGGCCAACCCTTTGACAAAGAAAAGCGTCTCCCTGACGGAAAACTGGCAGCGGGTCTTCGCGTCCAGACGCAGGACTTGGCCATATATGGTCAGACAGGCGAGAGCGAACTGATGACGTTGCTGCCTCCTCATCCGCATCCGCATCCTTCCAGCCCCGCGGCTGCTGTTTACCATGCCATGCTCGGTTTAAGTCGCAGAACATCCGCAACCACCGCTGACCCATCCTTGCAATGGACCACCCTTTGCCACCCCAAACCACCCACCACGTCCCACCGCCAAAGGTGCTCCGGCAATGGCCAACAGCCTTCGTGGCTACAATAAACTAGACGCCAATTTCGCTGTCGCTGACACGGCCATTGCCGCGGCCATCGAGCTTCGACCATCTACATCTACACGGAGAACAATAAAGAGGGCTTTCTTATGGCCGAGATAATTTGAATATGTAATAGTGAACATGAGAGTAAACATATGTTTTTACTGCACTTGTGCGCCACTGCAGGGTTACCATGTTCAATGGGGTGTAAAAAGACTGCTTTGTTATGAGAACTCATAGAAACTTAAAGATGATATTCAGTTTATAGGACTTACTGAACTTGGGGGTATGTAAATAAGATAAAGGTGCTTTTAAGATCGTTTTTATAATATTTATTTATAATTGTTTCTTTTTTATTTATTATATTCATTTATAATATTAATCATAAACTTAAAGATGATATTTAGTTTATAAGACTTACTGAACTTGAGGGTATGTAAATAAGATATAGGTGCTTTTTTAAGATCGTTTGTTAATATTTATATATTATTGTTTCTTTTTTATTTATTATATTCATTTATAATATTAATCATAAAGCATTTAATATAGTTCTTCCTATCTTAATTACCATATTATTATTATTAATTTAAGATTATATTCAGTTTATAAGTCTTTCTGAACTAAAAGTTTTGTAACTAAAGGGAACTAATGGGTAAATCTAAGATCTAGGATTTCATGTTATTTATTTACTTTTTATTTTACTAATGTTATTATAATCGACTTTTATTACTAATAAATCAAATAATTAGTATATTACTTCATAAAATTATATTCAAAAATCTTTTATTTGATTAGGATAATTCCACGTCCCTTAAATCTTTACATAAATCACTAGGATTTCTCGCTCTGCACCTTCTAGCTTCTACCGTCGACCATTGTCGACTGCAGGACTCGACGGCTCCACTTACTCGCCTTGTCCGCGGTGGAGTGGCGTATTCCTTTGCTCAAAAGCAGACCAAAACCAAACACACATCGACTTTGTGTCCGAGTCCTCGCATCAGTGTCCGCATCTGTCTGGATTCGCGACCCCCGTCACATCACCGGGGGTTCAGAGTTGCCCACTCCGAGTCGGGAGACTCCGGAATCCCCAATGCCCGCGACCCCCGACCTCATCCCATCCTGATTCTTAGCGACGTCGTCTGTCCATCGCATTTATCCTCGCTGTGGGCAACGCCATGTGACTTGGATCGAATCTGTGATTGTAAGTTGTGCGCCGTCGTTAGGATGCCGCATTGGCAGTCGGTGGGTGCCACTCCGCCACATGTCCTTACCCTCCTATATCCTAACCATATCCACCCCCCGCTTTTGGCTGGCCTCTGTCCACGCGGCTGTTCAGGGTCTGTATCCCAAAGACAACGGCGGAGTTTAAAACCATCATCATCGTATACACACTTGGCTCAGACAGCGCGATATTGAATAAGAATGCCTCCCGAAGGCAAAGGCAGGGCTGGAATTTAATACAGAGCCGGCCATATGTGAAGAGGTATTGATTAGGAAAAATAATGCCTGACAATCCAATTACGAAAAAATACAACGAATTTTATTCAAGAGGTTTTTTAAATGTATTTTATTTTAGGAAACAATGCGGATAAATCATTGATTTTAAAAATAATTTATTTAATTTATATTTAAGTTCAAATGAGAAGATTTAAAAGGTTTTCTGTGGTATGGGGCACTTATAAAACTAGGCTAATATCGTGGCCCATATTAATAAATCCAAGAAGGGGGTTTATTACCAAAACTATGATGATAAGACCCCTTTTTAACCCAACCCATTATACCATTATACTCCAAAACTGAAAGGCACTGGCTTTGACTGACTGTTCGGGGGGAATCAAATGTCTTAGTTTCGCGTGTTTATATCTTAATCTTGGCCGTTTTTAAGAGCGTCTATTGGCCGGGACTTTTATGTGCCCGGGGACCCGGGTCGCGGAAGCCGGCCAAATAATAAAATCCCAGCGTGGTGAATGGTGAATGGTGAATGGCGAAAGGAGCTATAGACATCCACGTACATCCAGGGGCGCAATATTAAGGAAGACGCGCAAATAGTGAGGAGGTTGGGTTAACATTAGGCGGTAAAATGGGGCCGGAAAATGGTGGATGGGTGGGATCTTATGGACCGGGGGGGCATTGCGCGTATTATGGCGACACTAGCGACGCCGTGTGTCCTTTTGTCCCCAGGACAATAACACTTCCGTGCAGTACATTATCATAAAGGGGTTAAGTCGCTGATTTTCATCGTGTGTGTGTGTGGTGTGTGCTCATTTAAAAACTTACACATGCTGCCGCTGGCCCCGCAAAAGGCCCGGCTTGGGATTTCCTGGAGGAGGCTAAGTCTCCTGTCTTATAAGGCCCAAGACCCAAGGAATCGCGCTGAATTTCACCGCTTTGTTTCAGCGCTCTTGCGGAAAAGATGGCAGCGGCTCATTATGCATCCCGATAAGCAATGTGTGCCTCCCCAGCGAGTCCTTGCGCCCCCAGGTTAGTCTAACGAAGGGTTTTTCGAGATGGAGTGGGCGGTGTGGTGTGGTATCGTATGGAATAAGGATGGTTAAAGGTGGAGGTGGAGGCACTGCATTGTGTCAACGAGGGAAGGCCGGCCGCCGCCTGTTTGACAACCCCGTCTTGAGCCCTCGTCGGCCGCATTGTTTTGAGTTGCGACCCGCGAGCGGTGGCAGTGGCAGCCATTCAGCAGGGTGGCAACTGAAAGTGATTCTGTCTCGGCAGACTCTGTTACTTGCCACCCTTTTCCTTGCTTTTTTTTTCGCAATTTTTCGCCGCTTTTGGCGCAGTTTTTTCGCTCTTTTTTCTGTACTTCTTCCTTCAGATGGACGTGGTCGCTTTATACCCAGTAGTCTTGATGTCAAAGGGTATATCACTTCATGACAGATCAATATTTTGATTTAAAGGTTATTGAACCACAAAAATTTTAAGATATAGCTCTTTACAATCAAAGTTCAATTGTTGAAGATATGGACCAAACATTAAAAGTTTTTTTGGGTCACCCATCTGAGAATTTTGAAAACTTAGAAGATAATAGTTTCATAAATAATTAGAGCCCTACCCAATAACGTAATTCTTTATTTTTAGTGCCAGCTAATTTAATAACAAACAAGATATTGATACAAACAGCAGGCAGGCAGATTTTGGGTCACCATTTGGGTCACCATTTTTGGAAATTTCAACAAATCTAAAAGTAAGCGGTATCTAATGGTCCATAACCTAAAGTATATCCCTTTTACTGGCTGTAATTTGAGCTGTGGCCCCTGTTCTCGCAACCGGGCGCCCGTTGCTCCATTCTCGCTGTGCATTCGTCCCTTTGTTTTCGTCATGTTCGCTCCTCCATTGTTGCCACTGCCGCTTCTACCAGGCTCGATCCTAATTTAACACGTTCGAATAACCTTGAAGCGTTTCTTATTACGCGCGACCGCAGTGATAGCGGCTCTGGAAACGCGGGAACTGCTAGAGTTCCAGTGGGCCTGGGCTCAGTGAGGAACTCAAAGGGGGAGGAGGACTGCCAAGGAGTACTGAACAGAACTCAATCGGCTGCCCAGGTAATGCCGTTTGCATCGAATTCAATTTGACGCCGCTGACTGACTGGTTTGCTGACTAATCGATTCGAACGAGCGAGCGAGTGTTTGACCTCGAACACTGCGAAACACGCCGTTCGCCTCGCTGATAACCGATGACTCCGGGCCTCATTGTGATTCTTATGGCTTCACACGGCGATTTTGCATTTTAATGGCCTTCTTCGCAGCGACGGGGGGCGTATTTGCGCAGGGTGGAGGAAGTGGAAGTGGAAATGGAAAGGTGCAGGACCCTCGAAACGCTAGAATCCTGTTTAGCACAAAGTTGGCGAAGAACTTTCCCGCGAAAAAGTGTTATCAACCCTGATAGTTGATTTAAGGGATCGATTTTCTATTATGTATGATTTTAGAAATTATTATTACTTTTGAAATATAAGAAAAGGATACAAATATTTACTATTTTAACAATAGCCCCATTTATTTCTGATTTATGGTTTATCTAATTTGTATTTTAAATTTAAATTTTGGTTTTCATTTTTCTTTTCTATTTTTTTTTAAGTTTTTTGAAATCTTAAGAACTGGATTCCAATACTATTTATTGAAAACAGAATTTTAAGTTAGTTAATATACAAAGGATAAGAGATCTATATTTTCAAAAATTCTTTCAAATTCCGCCAAATTCTATCCCAAAATGCAAAACCAAAAACACAGCGCTGTGTGTTTTTGAGTTTCCAAACTGCATCCTCTGTTGCAATCTCAGAGTGCGGATATGTCAACGACTGGAAGAGAAGGGAAGGCAATGAAACAGAGGGGAAGGGGCAGGAGTGCAAAGGACAGGCCCACAATAATTGCCAGCGTTTCCCGCGTTAATGGCCGTTTCGCTACGCTTCACAGTTTTCGAATCGGGCGCACATGCACCGAATTCCTGGCAATGGCAGGATTGTCTCCGATTCCGATCCTAAGTCTTCGCGGAACAGGAAAGAAGATGAATGGCACGGGGTCACGCAGCCACCTACGGGGCAGTCGCAGATGTGCAGGTAAACAACAATCGGGACAAAAGATAAAGATAACCCAAGGCGGATTAAATGGGAGTGGGTCTCGGCCTCTATATCTGACTACCTCGCCGAAGCGAACCGAAGGATGCAATGAAAACAGACCGCTGATTGTTGTTTGGTCCTCTGAATGACATCCAAAAATCGGCAAAAAAAAAAACATTAAAACGAGCGGGCATGAGTAAACACTATATGGTTAATACCCCCGTTAGAAAACATCCTCCTTTTCAGCGGTCAAGGAAGATTGCAGATTTCAGGAAAAATTCGGTATTTCAATTTATATATTTTTCAAACCAAAAAATATAAATCTAAAATTCCCTTTAATCTAGTACATGTTTATAAAGAGTTTTAAGTTTATATTTCCTGTTTTGATTCTATCTCATCCTATCCCTATTAAGGAGAGTTCCAGATTAACACCGCACAACAGGTTAATTTTCCCAAATCAAAGAATTCAATATCTATGCAAAACGGATATAACTTTTCCAAGGTTGTAAAACATAGCCCATACGATCTTGACTCCTGCTGCTTTTACAGGGCCATATATTTGTACAAGGGTACATGTATTTTCCACAGTCAGGTAAACGGTGTTAAAGGTAATCGAAGATTTCCTTTTTGTCTCGTGCTGCGCAATAGTTTGTGCCAAATTTCCTGGAAACTGGCATGCTGTTTCCTGAGCCCCGGTTTATATATGTATGCCTGTATATATTTATCTGCAGCTAATAAACTCATGTATTGCAATTGCATATTGGCTTCCAATGACGTTCGTCAGAGGATGATAGCACAGGCCGACAAAATGTGACATGGGTCGGTGTCCAGGCCTGCCACCATTTTATTTCGATAAATGAGGCTTTTCTAAGCATAAGTTGCCACTACGCCTATAGTCCATCAGCTCTGGTATTTGCGGTATCTTTAATTTAAGAAAATCACAAATTTTCTTCGTCTTTTGGGATATATCTTCAAGAGTGGTCAACCAATTTTGGAAATCTTTTCGGAATTAAATAGTTACATGTCTGTTTTATACGGTCGTTTTGGAAAATTCAATCTAACTCAACCACAAGAGGAGGTGGGCGCATTCAAAATTTTAAAGTCACAGCTAAGTTTAAAAATCTTCATTTGTGAACAGCGTTTAAAAATTAAATAAAAATATTTTCTTCAACAATGCATTTTTGATCCAAAGACACCTTGTGTCCTTACTGTTTAGGACACTCATCAGGTTTTTGTGAATTGTTTTGGAATTTTTAAAATTGTTTTTCTTACTTCCTTCACAGTGACGATTCACAAACAGTGCCCAAACCTGTCACTATTTTACGTAACGCATAACTATTTTTGAGCACAAGTGACCCTTGCTTTAAAAATATTTATACATGGGCGTAAGTTAAAAGCTGGAGGGGGATAACACTTCAGGCATTTCAGCCCCCAAAGATTAGTAGGCTACGCTCATGTGCTTATATTCAAAGCAAAACTACTTAGATCGTTTAGAAATATGTGATTTAAAATTGTGACAGGTTTGGGCACTGTTTGTGAATCGTCACTGTGAAGGAAGTAAGAAAAACAATTTTAAAAATTCCAAAACAATTCACAAAAACCTGATGAGTGTCCTAAACAGTAAGGACACAAGGTGTCTTTGGATCAAAAATGCATTGTTGAAGAAAATATTTTTATTTAATTTTTAAACGCTGTTCACAAATGAAGATTTTTAAACTTAGCTGTGACTTTAAAATTTTGAATGCGCCCACCTCCTCTTGTGGTTGAGTTAGATTGAATTTTCCAAAACGACCGTATAAAACAGACATGTAACTATTTAATTCCGAAAAGATTTCCAAAATTGGTTGACCACTCTTGAAGATATATCCCAAAAGACGAAGAAAATTTGTGATTTTCTTAAATTAAAGATACCGCAAATACCAGAGCTGATGGACTATAGGCGTAGTGGCAACTTATGCTTAGAAAAGCCTCATTTATCGAAATAAAATGGTGGCAGGCCTGGACACCGACCCATGTCACATTTTGTCGGCCTGTGTAGTAAATGCTTTAAAAGGATTACATTCCCAGGCTAATGAGAGCAATTCATTTAGCTATCGATTTCTTTGAAAATAAAAATCTAGGCTTTGTCAAAACGAAAAATAAATAAGAACAATTAAGGGAAATGAAGCCAAATAAGCTAAAGCTGCAGAACAAATACTAAGGGCAGTTTTCTCGTCCGTTTGTTAAAATTAAAGTAGGGTTAAAGCAATAATTTTCCATACGATTTAACGGTTTTAACTCTACTTTAAATTTAACAAACGGACAAGAAAACGGCCCTAAGAAAGATAAGTGTTTACCAAAAATGTTATATTATGTTGATATTATTATGTTATACTTTTTCGTAAATCAGCCAGAAAGTGGTTGAAATCAAAGTAAATTTTACTTTTTGCTCAATTTTTGCAAATACTGTTATGTAACCCCTTATAAAAAATTTAAAAATTGGGAAAATATTTTATTTTAAAAGTCAGCGAGAAAGTACACGGAATCAATTTATTTGTTTATTGGCTGTTCAAAACAGAACTGTTAACAACTTTGTTAATTTTGATTTCAGAGTATTATTATCGAAGTTAAAGCAAGCAACTAGCACCTAAAACATTTCTTAAAATTACAAGATATAATATTTCGAATTTTACTTTAATGGGAGTGAATTGGCGATTTTAAATTATGTGTGTCTTTCTTAATGGTTCCTCTTTACTGACTATTTCTAATGTTATTTCTTTTAGCCGAACCGCCTGATATCGCCGGATACCTTGTTGCGAAGGCGCAAGGGAAACTCCTATGAAATGGCCACTCTGCTGGTCAGCATGCTGATTGGAGCTGGCCACCCGGCTCTGGTGGTTTCCGGAGTGGCTCGCGAGGAGACGATTCTCAACGACCAACTGGCCATTCCCTACCCGTATCCGATCGTCGAGGTGGAGGCTGAGGAAATAAAGCCAAAGGTTGAGAAGACGGGTCAAAAGTATAAGCTGCGCGGATTACCCGATTTGGAGAGTCATCTCGAGGAGGATATGGCCGAGGTTCACAGGCTCAAGGCGGCGGAGGAGAAGCGGATTCAGGACGAAATAATCCGGAAGCAAATGGAGGTGAGGATAGTAGATAAACATGCACTTGTGCATTTGTAGCGAGGATTAATGCCCGGAAATTTCCCGCGAAAAATAGGAACTCGAGCTGCTGGCCGTGGATCGGCATCATTATCGACGCAGTCATGCCTGGGTGGTGATCATCAACAATGCCCCGTGGAGTGTGAAGCCCAAGACTACCTACACGGATGTCAACGGCGATGTGGTCGAGGCTCCTCCCACGGCCATTTTCATCGAACCCTCGACCGGATTCATCTGCGAAACGGGATGCAAACAGTACATCCTGGTGGATAGCATCTGGAATGACTACAACTACTATGTGTGCAAGCAGAAGCATCAGAGGGTCGGGGAGCTGCGTTGGGATCTGCGGGACACCAAGGACTGGGAGCACATGCTACCCGGTGAGCCGCCCGAGATGCGCACCTATAAGATGTCCTCGGATGAGAATATCGCCGATGAGGAGCACGATATCAGCGAGGAGAAGCACTTGGATTGCATTGGATCCTGGGTGGAGCGACTGCACATCGGTTTGGCCGACTTTGAGCAGCGTTTCCCCAGCTCCGAAAAGAAAATCCAGTACAAGGGAGCCATCCACGAGCGGTTCTCTCCCTATTCACAGCGCGACGGCAAGGTGATGCAGCTAACCATTTTCAACAATGACGAGTGCACCATTCCCAAGGTCCGCTACGAGTACTATGAGAATCGATCCGATCTCATGCGTCATGTAAAGTACACATATGCCACCGATCAATTTGAGGAGATCTTTAACAAAGGGCGGAATGACAGTTTGAAATGTAAGTATATAACTACAATTTTTAACATAAAAAACTAAGAAACTACATTAATTAAATCGTTTATAATTTGTATTTTAAATTATACTTTTGAGTTTATAATCTTAATTTTATCAAAACATAAAGTCCAACCTCTTTAAATGTGACATACTTTTTATCTTTTTTGCGGAATAAATAAAATTAAATATTTATTTATTTTAGGACTAAGAAGTGAACATTATGCTCCATGCAAAATTAGTTTTTAACTAACTTATAAACTTCTTCATTCAGCCATAGAATATTTCTCCGACACCTCGCTGCCTCGGAAAGTGCACTTTTACTCGGCTTCGAGGATAGATTCCTTGGATTTGATGGTGGTTGAACCAGGCTCTTTGGTCCTTCATTATAAGGGTCGCAGTGACAAGTGTTGGTATAAGGAATTTGAATTCACTCCAGCCGGAAACGTTCTCAAGGTGACTTGTATAATTATTTATTTTACCACCAAATTTTAGGATTTAATCAAATCAACTCTTACAGAAAGTCACTGAGAAGTTTCTGAAGGCCAGCGCTGACGATGTGGGCACAAATGATATAGCAACACGCATGTTTCTCTTTCAACAAAATAAAATTGTTTTGAAATTTCACTATACATTCGGGGCTCTAACCGCTACAACAGTGGAGTTTACGAAGCCACCAAGACCGGATTATGGCAAAGAGTTGGTTTACGATGAGAAACTTACCAAAATCTACAAGGTATGTGGATAATTCAAATATTAAAATTCGTTTTACACCAGTGTGCGTGTGTGGAAAACTCTTCTGCAGGCTAATCCTCTAGATCCAACTCGCACTAATCTCGAGCTATACAGATTGCTGTGTGCTCAACTGAAGTATGAGGATCAGCTGAGGAAGAACTTTGAAAAAATCTTCGAGGACATAAACAACATATTCGATTTGCGCAAATTCGAAAAGGCGGAACCTAAGCTCAAGTTTAGCATATTTGATCCACTGAGGAATGGAGCAGCCAGAGCTATAAGAATGAGACAGGTAAGGATAGTATTTAATTTTTAAAGAATTTATTTTTAATTTCTTGATTTAAGTTTGAGGAGGAAGAGGAACTCAAGAAGGAAATAGCCAGCAAGCCCGCTGATTTCTTGGCCCCATATCTAGTGCCTTATAAACACCAGGATGAACTTACTCCCGAGCAATCTCTAAATGCATATAATGCCTGCCTGAACGATTTAAAATCTCGGTTTGTCAGCTTGCTTAATAACCTGCAGCGACACTACGAAGATGTAAGTCCCTTGTAATTATTAAAACCTAAATACTTATAACTTCCTTGATTTCCAGCTTACCTCGGAGTCAAAGTCCCTGAATCGATTTCTTAACAAATTTGAGAATCAGTTTAATAACTACGATTACAAGCGCCTGGTGCAACAGTCGAAGGATCTGGAACTTAATAAGCGAATGGTTCAACAGCGCTTGACCCTGACCCATGAAGAGTCCCAAAAGAAATACGAAATAGTCAAAAATTCCTTGCTAAAAGACTCGCGTCTTAATTTCAAGAAGGAAGATTTGGGAAGGAGGCCTTCGGAGACATCGAAATAAATATACGTTCGTATAAATCAATTAAAGAAAAATGTTTAATAAAATTTAAGCAAGAAATTAAATAGAATTGATTTAAATATTAAAAAAAATATCCCTAATTTAGCATCCTTGATTCTCGGCAAATTTATAAGTTTGTCCCTAAAAGACAACCAATAACCATTAAATTCAAGTCCCTTTTATGACCAGAAAATAATCATAAATGATACATTTTTTGTGAACCATTTTTGCAATTAAACAGTTTTTAATATACGCCCTCAGAAATATAAAATTCGTTCATGGTCAAAAAGTATTCATAAATTTAACTAATCCATTTCTTGTGAATCATTATGACAATTAGATTGCCAAATAAATAAATTGAGTTCAATTGCTTCATTCACATTTAACGAGAACAGTTGACTTTCCGATTAAATCGAAATCAAAGGTTGGCCTTTAAGATGCAGATACGGGATTTCTGAGAGTTTCTTCCTCCGGTGGTTAAGTGGATTCTAAAATGCGAATGTCGATTTCATGGCCTAGAATCATTGCCGCCGCCTCGCGAACAACGTCGCTAAGGGCGAGTTTCGGGTGGTTTCGAGTGGTTTGGGTGTTTTTCGGCTGATTTTCGGTGATTTGGGTGGCCGGGTGGTTGGGGGTGGTGGGTGGTGGCCACGACGACGGCGAGGAAAATTCGTTTCAAAAAGTGACCGTTTGAAAATTGGACAAAGTGGCTGATGCTGCTGCCGTGTACGATGGACCCGCGCCCAAGGCACACAAGCCGTACAGCCGAAGAGCCGTGGTTGGAGGCATCGCACACACACACTCACAATCGCATTCACATACAAATATCCTGGAAAATTCACACACACACACACACACACACTCACGAATGTCTGAGCTGGGCGGCTGTCCATTTAGCGCGATACTCATACCCACACCCCTTAAAAGGCGCTCACACAATCGTTCACGACCCACGCATACACATGCACTCACACACACAACGAACTCATATGATGTCCGTGACCCCCACCCACCGCCCAGCGCCCAACCACCCCTCGTCGTCCTGATGGGACGGCGAAATTGGGTTCGTCCCTTGAAAGAATCGTCCTAAGATGAAAGTGCTGTCCCTTGTCCGCCTACCGTACGTTAGCTTCGCTGAAAATTTGCTCGTGGCATGAACACATGTGGCGTAATTTCGTCGCAGATTTTTGTTCGCTAACTGGACAAGGAGATTTCGTGCACTGCGCGAAAAAAGGGCAGTTTATTGTTCATTGTTAGACTTCAAAAAAATTAAGATTTCTTAAGTCATCTTTCAGAAATTTGTTTTTCTTAGGATTTTGATACAATTTTTTTTATTTTTCTTAAAGAATTATTAGTTTAAATTAAACTTAAAAGCAGTTAATCCCCAAAAACTACTTTCTACATTTTATAATGTAAACTTTTTTTATTTATTTCACATATAATTAGCTTTAATAACATTTTTTGGCAAAAAATGCATTAATCGAACCCTAAACCAAATCTACATATTTCTAAAGTATAACAATTTTTTGAAAAGGGTTATTACAAGCCTTTTTTAAAAAATAAAGATCATTGTTATAAAAACGTGTCTTTTGGATAATGAGACGTTTTTTAGCTCTGCGTCGCCTTCCTTAATTTGGCCCCCAAAAAGTGTGCTACTTTTTTCGCAGTGTCCTTTTTGGACTTCCGAGTCGCGGGACCCCGTAATAGCGGCTAGTCAATGTTCTGCGCCAAGGCGTGGGTCGTGGGCCGTGTGTTGTCGTCCCCCGCGGTGGTGGGACTTCCTTTTCGTCCTTTCGGCCAACCCCTCCCCCCACCCCCTCACATCCTTGCCATCAGCATCCCATCCGTGGCTGCCTCGGACTTGGCCAGTGACCGGCTGGGCATAAGTACAGTTGTGTAAATACACTAGCGGCCAACGCCGCGGCCCAAGAATTTGTATTTTATCAGCATCATTCACATCGCGTAGTCAAGGACTCCCAATATTTACGCGAAGTATACACATACAAGCATACGCGTGAGTGTGTGTGTTAGATTGTGTGTGAGTGTAAGTGGGTTCTTGCCGAAGCAAACAGGACATGTGATGGCAATGGTGGAAGTGGTGGGGGTAGCGCGAGGGTTTTGCACACGGGTTGTCGACTCCGTTCGTGTGTGAGTGTGGGTGCAGACGAAAAAAATATTATATTGGATTTGAAAATATATAATTTAAGTACCGCCTAACCAGTCTTTGTTATCTTAAGGTATATTTTTCCACCAGATTAATAGAACTTTTATGACTTAGGTTTTTAATCTTAATTAATCAGCATCACATTTAAATTATCTATTTTTCTAGGTGTGACTATTTTTTCAGCAGTGATTATATGGTGATATTTATATAAAAATTACTTTTTAATAACAAGTTGGATATTTCATATCTATTATAATAATTTTAAAATAAGAAATATTAAAAAAACCCTAAAAAAAGCACTTCATTTTTTCTGCTTGTGTGCGCGAGGACACACGTTTGCGCGGGGCGGTGGCGGTGGGGTGCGATCCTTTCATTTTATTCCTAAATGTCCTTCCTTCAATATTTCAAACGTGCTTCGTGACGCGTCCGTTTTGCAAAGCCTGGGCGACTTGCAAGTGGGCCTTCGCCTTTTGTCGCGCTCCGTTCTTCAGTTTGTTGTTATTGTTCGCCGCTGACATGTTGCTGCTGCGCCGCGGTGAATTGAGCGGCGGAGTGGGTGGTGGAATGGGATGTGTGGATATGGATGTGGAACTGGGAAAATGGGACGTGGGTGGACCGAAGGACAGAGTGGAATGGGTGGCCGAGCCGAGCCGAGACACCCAGGGGTTGGAGGGAAAACTTTTATCTCGGCGCATTTATTTTTCTATTCCACTTATAATATATGCCAGAAACAGGATACACACCCACATGGGCATATATTGGATATTTATTTTGTATTCGAACGCCCGGCGACGGACGGACAAACGGACGGACGGACAGCGAACGTGTCAGCATCAGCAGCATCGCCATCAGGAGCATGAACTGTAGAAGGAGGTGGGGCAGAATCGGCGGACTCGCCGGGTCGCCGGACGGTTAAGTGGGGTAGCCCGTTATAGGACTTATAGGACTGGACCTGGTCTCAAACCCATACTCATGGGGGAGTTTGTAATGTGTGTGTGTGTGTCCGTGTGTGTGTTTGGGCCTTCGTCCGGACTCAGGACAAAACGACGGACGCTGAAAAATGGCGTGAATTCACTTGGGTGATTTGCGCGACGTCCTGCACGATACACACATTTAAGGATGATGGAAAAAATGTTCCTTTACCTTTTCATTTTCTGCGCTTAGAACTTCGTCTTGGCATATAGCAAACAACAAGAACAACACACGCAAAAAGGTTTTGTGGATGGAGAAGCGGCTGTGACCACATGACAAAAATTCTATCCATATTCTGGGCTTATATTCTCTGTATTCTTATATATTCAAAAATAAGTGACCAATTAAAATAAATTCTTCAATCAATACAGTGGGTATTTAATGGATTTTAGAAAGGTAATTCAGTTATTTGTCATTGATTTCAATTTGTAATCGTTTTCCATTTAAAATTAGGAATCCATTTTTTTAATAACAGTTTCATCTTTCATTAAGGGAGGTACAATATAATTAATTAATTACTTTTTTAAGCTTAATGACATTTTCAAAAATATTACCAATCGTTTTAAATCTAATTCTGTTCCCCTTTTCAAACTACCTTTTTAGAACTTTTGTATAAGAATGGTTATTTTATAGTTGTAGCTGAAAGTTAATATTTCTTTATAAGATCTTACAAATTATGAAAATATATATTTAATTCTATACATTTAGGGCCGTTTTCTCGTCCGATTTCCCATACGATTTCAAGGCTTTAACCTTACTTTAATTTTAACAAATGGACGAGAAAACGCCCCTTAGTTTTTATCTTTAATAATTTAAAAGTGGCTGATAAAAGCAACATCTAAAAATATAATTATTTGAATTAATTTACTTTTATTAATCTTTAGTAGAACGTTAGAATGGGCTCCTTCAAACTTTAGCAATTCATACACCACTTGGTGGACCGCATTTTATAGGGCCATGAAAAACTAGTATCTTCAGTTCGGAGGCGGTCAGTAGTCTTATGATCCGACGAATGTCCGTGATGGACCGCTGAAAAGCGGAATAAGTACACCTGCCGTTGCTGATTGTTATGGCCCCGGCCATTCGACCATTCGACCATTTCGGCCATTTGGCCGTTTCCATCAAGTGCTAATATACCGACGTGTTTCCCGTTGACGCCTCTTCCGCGTTCGGAGCCCCAGTTTATGACTCTAATTGCCCCCGACGTTGGTTAAGTTGATACTGGTAACTGCTTATCTGTGCCCAGTTGATATGTTGATGACGTGTTTACTGCAGCATAAAGTCCCTTTTACGACCCATTTTATTTATATCCAAGCTCTGCTCATGAGCCTGTCCTGGCGCCAATAAATTTTTATTAGCCATGATGTGGCCGCTCTTGTTCCTTAAGACACGACGGTCGAGCGAGCTGAGCTGAGCAAACTGATTCCGATGTTTTATTGCCCATATTGTGGCCATTCGCATGTAATTCGCGTTTTATTTCCCCGCACACACGGTGGGCGTGCGAGGAAATTAGTTTTCAATTAGGTTTCGCTTATTTGCCTGAGATAAGCGGGGAGTTAGGTTGGGACTTCTTAACTTTCCCTTGAAGGTCAAAGTTCCGGAGTTTGCCTATATATACAACATGCCATAATGAGCAACTGCAACAACACTAAACGTGTGCATTTCGGTGCTCACTAATTGAGGGATTAGTTAGCCTGATTATCGGGTTCATTAAACTTTCACCAGACAATGGGCCCGGTTATAATGCAGGTGTACGGCTGTTGTACATAATGTACTTCATTATTGTGCAACCATGTATGTATGGATGTACATGCCTATACACAGGTGCCGACTGCATTGACATTGACTTTCATCTCATTATAATGGC